TTTTGTTCAGGGGGGTACTGCGCACAAAGTTAACTCAGGGGCCGGGAGTGCACCCCTTAAAATCAAAGGGAAAAACCGGCATTGGTTACTTCGAAGTAGGGGCACAAATTCGAACCATTGGGGGTGCGCACCCACTGGACCCCCCTCTCCCCTTGGATCCGCCCCTGCATGATGTGGAACTCTTCAGGTCTTGGATTCTTTTTCCGTTCCCTCAAATTTCTTTGCCTTCTTTTAGACATGGGACTCATTATTATTATCATTTTCTTGATCTTCTCTAGGAAGTGAATGGGACTATGTAATCCTGTCATTGGTTCGTTCGGTTCCTGAACAAGAATTGGAACCTGAACCATCGTCATCATGGCTCGGTGAACATCTTGGATTCATTACCGATGATCACCAGATTAACGTGGCCCTGACACGAGCTAAACATGGACTTGTTATCATAGGTAAATACTTGCTTGCTTTCTCTTTTACAGCTAGATTATCACTCTAACGAATCGCTCACAGATTTCCTCCGAATGTTTTTGAAACTATGTAAATTTTCGTGCGCAAAAAAAAAATTCCAAACTTTTATTCATTAGGTCTTCTTCAACGATGCAATCCAACACCATTCTCGTTCCCTTATCAGCATTCTAACGAAAAATCGAAGGATGTTTTGTTGAGATGGGTCTGGGAACGAGAATGAGTGTATTACAAATGAATAACACGGTACGAGACTCGGCCGCGCTGCGACATTGCTGCTACGCATGCGCAGACGTTTGACCGCGTAGTTCAAATGAATGGACCCGATTTAAAAAGGGAGTAGGGAGTTGGGATATCCGGAACGCATCACCTCTCGAAGTGAATTCCTTGATTTTGTATTTTTTTTATTCTCAGGTAACAAGAAGCTCCTGTCATACAGTCCTACCTGGGCAGCCCTCATAGAACAATACGAAAAAAACAGTTGTGTTGTCGAAGGAAACCAATGGCCAGTACCAGACTAGCTTACTAGATTTGTCACTACCAAACAGGCTGGTGGCAGATAGTCGGTCCAATTTCATGGATGTTCCGTGCAGGAGCTTCGTGTATTTCATCTATAATCAACGCTCTAAATGCACCCATACTCAACAAAATATGAATTTTACAAAGTCAACTTCACATATAATCAACTTGTTGTTCGCGTACATGCATATTACGTAATTCTTGGGGTGCATTGCACGTCATAGCAGCCATGTATGTTCACTTTGACAATGCATTCCTGAGTAGCTTCACTTAGTGGATCTTCCAACATATGGCGGCTGTTTTATTGTTTTTCGAATCTCAAGGGATTTGAGTGTTTTGGTTGCACTCAAAGAATAGTACTTTTCACAGTTCCTTGGGTCATCTTGAAGGGTAACCGTGCCTTTGCATCGAAGCGAAACGAACGGCGAGCTTGCAATGACAGAGACCTTTTTTAATACCTTGAACAATTATTCACGTCACAGGACTAATAAGTTTATATGACCACCAACTACATTAGCCAGTTCAAGAGACCATGAAAATCTTTCAGTTACTTGGCCAGTTGTAATAACAGCTATATTCAGTATAATTACCATGGAAACTGAATAACTTGGTGGTCTATCAAATTTTAAGTGTGTTTTTAGTCTATCATTCTCTGTAAAAACATTAGCTTTTGTATCATCTACTTAATATATGCATGTTCAGGACTCTCCCTATTAGGGTACGTCATACTCGTGTTACTTCAATTTCTACGCTTATAAGAAATGCTTCATAAAATCATATCCAACAAGTCAGTGCAAAAACACATGCTTTTGTAGAGATCCCCACTTCTCACCGAGTGGTTGGGAGATAACTAGGGCAAGAAATTTGAATTATTAAAAAAATATTTTTGGAAATTAAAACCATTTTAAAGGACTTTTAAATTATTGATTTGCATTTAATAGAAAATGTTTTTAATTGTATCTATATTCATCGATCTGATACTCATTAATAATTCATAAGCTCATAGACCAACCAGGGTTTCTTATTTGTACCAAGTGCAGTAGTTTGAAACCCCCATCAAATATGACCGCACACATTTCAAAGTACTAGAACTTTGAAATAAAAACAAACAACAAAAAGAGTATAAGATGTTGCATCAATATAAGATATTCGTCAAACATTGGTTCCCAATATTTTGTTCCAGTAATATCCACTATTTCGTACAAAATAGCTGGAATTAGATATGACATCTTCGGCATTCTTCTTTCCGGATATATGGCGCGACTCTATATTTTTAAATAATCGTATTCTTTTATCATGTAACTCGCGCAAAATCAATTTTACTCATATAAATTAAATTATTTGTTCATTCACTTTCAAAAATGCCAAAATTTGGTTCTTTGAGAAGAATGTACAAAGAAACAAAGCAGTACGACATGACAAGCCCTTGATAGAGTTCAACGTCTAAATGGAATGGTTTGCTTTCAGCAGAAGGCTTACACATTTCTAATCAACTGCTTGACAAGAGTTTTAAATCCTCTAGTTTTATGCTATCTATGATTAGGTAATTAATAATTGCACTATTGTATATAGCCTGTGATATAGAAGTCATGTAATGTAGGTATTACAGCTGTAGTTCAATAAACACTAATGCCATTACTGTATTTCAATTTGTTTTCAACTATTACTGATCCAAATTTTCACCATTATTCACCCCACATCCCTAAAGAAAACCATCACCAACCATAAATGGAAACCTTACCAATCTGTAAGTAATGATAAAAAGGTAAATTATACACCATGAAAAGATGAGAAAACTTACTGACGTTTCGGACGCTAGTCCTTCGTCTTTTACTCCGTTTTTTCATCTTTTCACAGTGAATAATTTACCTTTTTATCATTACTGTTTAATAAGAAAACCCCACACAGCTCAAACTGGTTTTTAGCTAGTTATCTCTTCAATCTGTAAGTAGACAAGGACCAAGAAAAATACCATTTTTGGCCGGCAGCAGTGAAAAAAAAGGGGTTCATCACAACTACTGAGTTTACATCATAAAAATTGCAGAAAGACAAAAGCAAACAACCTTTGTACTCAGGTGGAAATTTTTTTATTTTACAATTCTAAGCCACTTTACTCAGTTTAGACTCTTGAAGGGTACAGCATCTGAAGAAAAAGGCAAAAATCACACACTAGTTAGAAAACAATGCTAAAATTCATGTTTTCATTGATTCAATACTGTTATTGTTATTGAGTTTTATTACAAAATCAAAAATATACATATATATAATAAAGAGAATTGAAATCAAGCCTTGCACAATGATGGCATGTTTTGAATATCAAATGAATTATTCCCGATTGCTGAGCTCAGTTCAAGTGTAGTTAAAAACAGCATCAATGCCAAAGTTGGCATTTAAGACAATCTATGATTACATCATAGCTCAGGTGATCTGTCATACAAGTAGCTCACAAAAATAATTGTATGCAGTTGGAAAAAAACAATTAGTTTTGATATAAATTTCAAAAATTGCTATGTAGGTTTGGGTCCATACATTATGGCTATTATTGACCAGTTATGTGTGTCCCAGAACCCCAATTGAAGTTCCCCAAAAAACTGAGAAATGTATGCAAATGGTATTGTAGCAATATCAACAGAGTGTATATTTTTATAAAATATCTATCACAACTTACCACTCGTACAGTTGCACCCATGGACTTTGGAGGCAAGTTATGTCTAAATTTGGCTCGAACAACTCCACTGTTGCCGTGAGGTCTAGTTACTTTGCCCCAGACCACTCTAAGCTTGGTACCTTTCTTGTCTCCCTTGGTAACAGTTTTGGTCTTGGCTCGGTACACAAATGCAAGCCTCTTACCAAGATAAAAGTCTGTGTCTTGCTTCTTCTCTACACCTTCAATCTTGATCAATGATGTTGATGGGTGCTGATTTCTGAGACCCCTTTTGTAACCAAGGACAATGCCTTTGGTGTAAAGTCTAGAAAGCATGATAAAGACTATTGAAATGGAGCTGGATTTCCAATTACCACCACAAAAAAATTACAAGACATCAATTTTGTCCATTCTTTTTCCTTGGGAACACAAGTATGGAAAAGCAAAATTCACTCACAGGTCACCGAATATCATTGGAAAGTTAGGTTAATGTCTTTGTAGCACATGTCCTGTTGTTGCCTAGCAATGATTGTATTTTTCATGCAATTATGAAGAAGCATCAACCATTTATATTATAACTGCAAGTTATTTCCACACACATGATTTTTGGATACAAACTGGTTTTGCTTCACAATAGTTGATGGTGCTGTATTACTACTGCGGTTTATTATATTCTGTGAACTCAGACATTTCAATGGAATGTTGTGAAATTTGTTTTTACTGCTGCCAGTCAAAAATATAGAAGTTACTAATTGAATATTTTTGATTGACGGAAACTAAAAACAAATTTCACTATGCAGCTCGCAACTACCAAGTTATAGAATTTCAAAAAACTGCAGTAATGAAATGGCCCTTGTTTGCCAGTCCTATTTCTTCTTATTTTCTGAGTGTATTTTTAGGAATAAATACCACTCTACTATGAGTTAAGGCTACAGCCTGCATACAATCAATAGCAAAACATTTTTGGGTTCAAAAACATAGAACATAGAAGCCAAGACCAAAATGGTAAATGGGAAGTATGTTAATTAGATTTATCTAGTGATACATCTCATGGATTGTTCATAAATTGTTGCACTGGCAAAAAGCATGGAGGCTTATAACACATGCTTCATATCATCTGCGCATCTCAAATGAATACATCGGAGGATAATCATGTCATTTCCCAAAATACTTTCACTCTCAGCTTCTTTGTTCTATATTTGAACCCGAAAAAGATTTTGCAATCGAGTGTATAATATACTTGTATACTGACTGAAATGTGTTTGGGACAAAATACAATACTCACCGAGTGGGCTGCGACATCCTTGCGTGGATTCCTCGTAAACTGAACACAAATATTGATAATAATCGTTAGAATATACTATAACGAGTCTTCCTCTTCAACAGCTAGCTAAATTTTGCTTAACTGAAATTATATTTTGGTACGAAAACTACGATAGTAGGGAAATAGAAATCAATCCAACATCATGCAAACTGCACGGTTCTATAGCTTTACTCGACCAAAATATATTGACAAACTAAATGAGTCCAAAGCATGAAAACTTAGTTACATCTCCCCTTCCTCCTTGAAAGCGTTACAATCTAATTCTACTCCATATCAGCTAACGTAGTATTAAATTTTATTTAATTCAGACAAGCATTAAGACGCCATATTGCCAATCAACTTGACGAGGCAAAATTGTTTTATTGTCTTAGGAAATAAGCAAAATAACATCACATATGCTTAGGAAAGAATATACTCTCCCTGATGGGGCACAAAAATTTAAAGAAATGCACCAGATTATTCGAGATTAATAAGGATTTTAAACTCAATGTACCTTTATGTCTTTGGAAGGATTCACGGAGGAAAAAGAGAAAGATTGCGCCTGCACGTGCCCTGATAACATGTCAGCGGAAACATTAGTGTCCAGTCTCTTTCCTCTCATTACCATAGCAACCAGCTGATATATTCACTTTTGCACAATTCCTTCAAATTCTTTGTTATTTTTGCACCTTATGTTTTAAAATTTGTCTTAATTCTTGTCAAATAGGATTCCTTGGATATGGATTCGAGCCGCAGAGTACTTTCCTCTAGATCTCCAGCTACAAAATACGAGGTGATGCTGTTGGAAGACATCACGAGTAGAACTGTAGGCCCCTGTGAAGAAAGGATAGCTCTTTGCTTCAATGTCTTTGATGAAGTTCTACCCCACTTAGGTGTTTATCGGAAAATTATATCAATACTCAGGGAAGAACTGTACACTGCAGTTTATAGCTTAGACTATACGACGTTGCCGCCAAAAAAGGGGCTTAACAAGACCCCAGTTGTACAGCGTTTGCCATTTTTTGTTCTTGTAAATCGACTGTATGCAGAGAGAGACAAAATGGCTAAAATCCTGCAAGAAGAGATAAAAAAACTACAGAAAGACGTAGAAGAAAAAGAGAAAACCTTAGAAAAAAACTCTGCGCATATCGAAGAATTTAAGCAGCGAGTTAAAACACTTGAAGATGAGGTGTTTCACCTGAGAATGGATTTAGAAAACTGTACTCTTGAGAAGATGAAGTTGGAGGCAAATTTAGATCAAGAAAGAAGATCTCATGAGGCTAGTAAAGCTAGATACGAGAAGCGACTTACAAGTCTTAGAGAACAGCTTGTTAAGAGTGAAGATATGGTCAAAATGTTAAGGAAATATAAAGATGGATATGATGACTTGGAGGAAGCATTTAATGATAGCTCAGTGTTTGTGAAGAGGCCACATAATCCTGCGCCTTTGACTAAAAAATCACAAGTTATTCAAGAAATTGCATCTGCAAAGTTACTAGAAGAGCAACTCCTGACAGTACAGAATTCTATTATTGAGGAATTTGATACCTTTATTGAGAAAAACAAGTCAGATCCTTGCAATGAGCCTGCAGGATTGAGGAAGTGCTCAAGTAAGGGAACAAGATGGGACGAAGAAACTGAGGACATGAAGAAATTCTTAAAACTGCAACAAGAAACAGAAGAAAGGTTTAAAAAAAGTATTGCAGACATTGAAAATGAACTGCAATTGATAGAAATCCAACGTTCAACTCTTGAAGACAGGTTAGAACATCTGGAAGAGGAGAAGGGAGAAGAGAAGAAACGGGAAAGAAAAGGTGCCGCAAAGACAATTAAGGATGATGACGAAATAGATTTTGTTAAGATTATGAGTACACCTGGCCATGCCGACCCTTTCATTCCACACGAAAGGATAATGAGTAAATATGCAGCCATGATGTATTACTCTTGCAACCACGGCAAAAACTTTCATGAATTTAAAGATGCCAAGTTTTGTCCTAGTTGTGGGGAAACAACTTTATTATGCCCACATAAAGTAGGAGAAGAAAAACTTGTTTCGTTACCCCACAACTGTACACATATAAAGATCAAAAGACCGGTAGTCCACATTCTTAAAGATGAAAAGGCAGAATCATCTCTTCCAGGAACTCCTGACAGTATGAGAACCATGTCAGCTGGGACAATCACTCCCTCATATGGAGAGGAATATGTTGTGAAAACTCAACAGCACCTTACAACTTCCTACAAGAGGCTATGGGATGACCTAGCAGCTAGAACATCCATCAAGAGAAGAATTCCAAGACCTTTAGACAAGGAAAGGGTTCTATCAATCATATGCCAGTTCTATGCTACTTTGTTATGGCAAGATGACTTTGCTATGGAAGATGAACAGATCGTGTCTGTGCTTGAAACCTTGAATGCCTTTTTTCAGGAACGGTATATAATCCCAGATGTTGCTTACCTTGCCATGCATGACTTCCTCTCTGGAGTTGTCCAATATGCCCAGGAAAACCAATCCATTCAGTTGTTTGCACAAGCAATGTGTGGAAACCTTGACCCTGTTGTCATCCGCTATGCACTGCTAATGAATGAAATCATTGATCTTGTGGATTGGGGCTCTGTGGATGATTTCAGGATTTTAGCACAGATCGTTTACCCATTCATGCATGAAGAAGACCTTGAACAATTCACTATGGGCTACACTTCCTTCAGTGAAAACAAGATCTCCAAAGAACTAGTTTCAGAATATCTCTTGTACATCATCTTGAAGTACAGAGAACCCTGTTTTCAGGATTCTGAAGTAAAGCTACTTCAACACCCAGGAAACACACCAGGATTCATGACAGATATAGAGTTTACTGAAGCCATTGATAACATTTGCCCATTAGCATCAGAGCGTTTAAGAAGGCGTCTATTTGCAGAGTCCTTGGAGCATATGCAGGATGCTGATGACGCTGTTAACATTATGAGACTATCACAGATCACTGGCTACTTAACACTTGTACAGATTTCTCCAGTAGTGAAAGATCACATAGCACAGAGAGTTGAAGAAGCAAGAGGTAAAACTGAAGAAGATCAAAATGATCCTAAAGAGGTAGTTGGCAACATCAAGAAACAGCTCCTGATGGAAGATGCTAAGAGCAAGGCAGCAGCCACTGGGAAAAAGATTCTAACCATAGAGTATGTACGTGCTGTCGCAGCACAGAACTCTAAAAGAGTGACAGCAAGGCAGATTAAAAGAGTAGAAGGTTACAGCTACTAAAAGTCTTACAACAACAAAGAATTGCAATTAATGGCCAAGGCTACAACCTTGTACACTTGTGAATATAGCTTTGCCATCATGGCCAGTTTTTCTTAAACTAGTAAGGAGCCAAGTTATAATCACTGTTGTAAAAACACAAATTTACATTTTTTTACCGCAAACGCATTGTGAGTTTCAAAAGTGCACACAGTTAAGACTATCGCTCAGGGGCAGATCCCGGCAGTGTCCTGTGTATGGGTATGCCAAAAGAGATTGCAAGGAAGTGAACTCTCCTCCTGTTCTTTTTAGTTTTCTTTGATTATTTTCATGTGTATGAACTAAACTGTTTTTCTCATATTTCCAGAAATGTATATATGTTACCAAGAAAAGTGGCTGGAATAGCATGTATGACAGTTAATAAAATAAAACATTCATTTCTGAATAAGACGTAGTGTTTACTTTTCTCATTGATAAACAAGTTGTTACAAGGTGTCTCATACAGCCAAATATTTCTAGTTGCACTTTGAATCAAAGATCTCAAGCCATAGAACATGACTATACATGTAAAATATCTCAGATTGAACTCTAATACATTATTAAATCAGCCATGCTTATGCATTACATGCAATCAAACAGGGGGTTATTAACTTGTCTCTCTTTGTCTCGACTATGAAAAATGTCAAACATACAATACAATTAGTCCTAAATCTTGCACCTCCATTGGATAACCTGACCAAACCACTATGACAATCTAGAAACATCTATACATCATAGTCATCATCAGCATCATCATGTTTTCTTTTCTGTGGAGTAATCAAAGGTTGTTGTGCACTTGCAACTGTCTCATCCATGCTTGGCAAAGCAGACACAGTCATAATGGATGCTGGATTAGTGCCAGATTGATTCCCTGGCTTAGTGGTGGTTGGTGTACTTATCTTGATGGTAGTGGGTGTACTTGTGCTGCTCTTTATTAAAGCTGGAACAGCTGCTTCACTTTTTATAACCTGAATGCACAAAGATAAAAAGGATAAAGTTCAAAGTTTTTACCACTGCAATTTCTTGGTGTTTTAGTAAAAAATATTATCAGAAATCATCTTGTTATAATTCAGATCAATATTTTAGCTGCCAACTCTTAGGGCAGTATCTTTACATTCTATGCATTTAAGGGCAAAGACAGGCTTTTTCCATGGTCTAAGAGTTGTATTCTTTGAAACTGTCATATTTATGACATCATACTGTAACCATTACAAACTGCAATCTTGAAATCACTTGCAATGCATGTCATTAACTTATTGATACGTACCTTAATAGAAGTTGGAACACTTCCTGTTGGGGTGGGTCTTGCAGCTGTGGTGATGCTTGGTTCTGGCTTAACTTGAGGGCTTTGCAAACTGCTGCTAGTACTAATATTTGTTACTAACAATTGAGGTGTTGAAGCTATAGACCTGGCTGCTGTTGTTGATATAGGTACAGCTGAAGACTGAGGTCGAACCACTTGAACAACAGTTGATGGTTTTACAATACTGCTTGTGGAAGAGGAAGAAATAGAATTTGTTCTGCTGATGGCAGGAGATGGACGCATAGGAGGCTGTAAAAATACATTGAAAGCTTTGAGCAGTCGGTTTATGAACTAAGAGAAAGTGGTAAAACATATTTACTAACCTTCTTTTGTGCTCTGACTTTGTAGTTTTTTCCTGTGAGACAATATCGATCTGGTGGCAATCTTAAACCACTTTTGGGCTGAAATTGAGGTAATGGAATCCTATTCTTTTGTCTGGCAATTTCTATGAGAAACTGTAAACAAAACACTTATTAGCTTCAAAAGTATAATTTATCCATCAATAAATAAGCCAATCAATAACTCACACATTCGCCCACTCTACTCGCTCAGTATTATTCTCAATCACTGAATAAATAAATAAWAATTAAATCTGTCAATACAAACACTAAATCAAAATATGACAACCAATTTGAATAGCTATTGTTCTGCACTTACTAGCCTCTCATACATGTGAACACACTTTTGTGTTTTCATGTGAACATGGGACTAGTCAGCTGTTAGTCAGTGCAGAATAATAGTTATCCAAATTGGCTAACATATTTTGATTCGGTGCATGTTGTAATGTTGGTCCAACCTGGGAGGTATACTCACATCTCTTGGGGGTGGACTGGTGTATGAATGGTCAAGGCGGGATTGAATAGCAAGCTGAACATCATCCGTATCTATGTCTTTCTTGCCTGCATGACTAGAATATGCTTTGGCATCATCCAAAACCATTGTAACATATCCTAAGTAAAATATGACAGTTAAACACCATCTTTATTATTCTTGTATTACTATAACAAGCAATCAGTACCAAACACACAGCATTCTCTTGATATTTGGAATCAAATTTAGAGCTCATCATTTCATTCTACTGTTGTCATAGCAACGAAATAAATTTTCATGACACATTCTCAAGCTTGACCAGCCCTTTAGTTCAGCAAATATTGCCCTATGGGATAGTTAACTGTAATATACTAGCCATTCAAACTTGTTTAGGTCATTTCTCTGGCGGTGTAAATAAGCAGAACACCCTTTCGAGCCTCCTTAATTCAATTTTCGCCATTTCTCTTGACACCCATGGCTAGTCAATAAACTTATAATGCTTCTTATAATCCAAAAAAATAATAATCAAAAACAATAAATAAATATTAAACTTCACTCCAGAGTTGCTCTATATATAATTTATCCCAAAGAAGTAGAACGATGGATGTTTTGAGAGTCTCTTCTGAGGTGGTTTGATTTTGTCCTTACGATATGTAAATTCTAGCATCTGATTGACGACTCTTGGTTCGTAGTCGCTTATCCCCATCTCTCTTAATATCGCTCCCATAACCAGAGCATCTTTAGGAGTACTTTTAGCAGCGGGTTTACTGCTTTCATTTGTACTTGCTGCTGTGTTACCATCCGCTTGACTGGCCGCCATCTTGAAAACGAGCCCGCTATCACTCTGCACCGCTGGACATAATTACCCATCATCCCATGCAATGATAATCAAAATGGCGGCCAAGATGAACAGAGAGACAAGCACAAAGGATGTTGTTAACAGTATTCTGGATGATTATGAAAAATTAACCCGGTGAGGCTTTATACTTCTCGTATAAACAAATATAGGGGCAATGTTTATGATATTTTTTTGAATGAACTTTTAACGTGTTTACCATATTTGCCAAGGTATTAATCTTTTTTTTTCTATAAATTATTACAGGCAGCTCTTTGAAAATCTTTCTGTCTTTTCGTTATATCGAGGGAAAAACGACGCCTCTGAGGGAGACACTACTGAGGTAAACTACTTGTGCAAATGCTCCAGCGAAAAGCAATTTCTTGCTCCAGTGTCCGTATTTGAATGCAAAGAGACAGAGAGACAGAGAGATCTAGAGACAGAAGGCAGGGTAGACTCTTCCACAGTCTCTCGCTCGTCCGTTCCGTCTCCACGCTTAGAGACTGTTACGGTACAATGACCAAAAGGACTTATGGGTCCCGTAAACTTGGACCCAGCATGCTTTGGGAACCAAAATACTTGTCCACAGTCTCTCTGGTTTTTGCCGCCATCTTGAAAATATTGAAACAAGAGAGACTGTGGACGAGTATTTTGGTTCCCAAAGCACGCTGGGTCCAAGTTTTCGGGACCCATAAGTCCTTTTGGTCATTGTACCGTTACAGTCTTTAAGCATGGAGACGGAACGGACAAGCGAGAGACTGTGGAAGAGTCTAAAGGCAGGGCTGGGGGGATTGTCTGGGGAGGAAGGGGAAGGGGGGGAGTTACATCCAAAACATCCAACGTAAGCCAGAGTAGGTATGTTCATTTCAGTGTCAACCCTTGATAAAATTCTGCTGCTTTTATTAGATTGTAAATAAATTAACAGAAAAAGATAAAGAACTGCAAGCAGCAATCAAAATAGGTATGTCTCAACTGATGGAATTCAATGCAATATGTACCACATGACCAGTTAATGTGACCAGTTAATGTGATCAGTCAGAAGTATTGTCCTAAGAGGTGTTTGGCTGGACAATTAATTATTGTCTATTGCAATAGACTGTTTTCTCAAGGTTGCGTGCACATCCAAATTTAAGGAACTTGACGGGCCACAATACCAGAACACTAGCTTTATGATGAGTATTATCATGCATTGCTATGAAATTTTTTTTGATAAAATATTCATTAAAGCTATTATTCTCCTCTTTAGATATAAAACTGTCTTTTCAATTTTATTAAATTTGCATTTTTCAGTTTCGTGGCCCGTCAATTTGGATGCGCACGCAACCTTGAGAAAACAGTCTATTGACTGGCAATTATTTTGAGCCCAGAGGGGTCAGAAAAATGATACACATGGCATAATTTGCATTGACCTAATTTTTATATGTTTTGTACAAAGCTAAAGAACAAATGGATTGTCAACTTCAAATTCAAGTCACTAAAGAAAATATGGCCAAGAAAGATCAAGAAATTTTGAGACTTGAAAATCAGTTAAAAGAAACTGAGCAGATATTGGTAAGACTAGAGTGGAAAACAATTATTGTTTTCAAACAGAATGTTTTTGAATCATTCTGTATAGTGTTTAATTTAGTTTGTTTTTCCAACTAGTCACAGGCAGTTTTCCAGGCCAAAAAGAAGTTAAAAGCAATAGAACAAGCCAATAGAGGTATTTAGTGAATACATATAACTATATATGTACATATATTTATCAATGTATTGATAATCAATTATTGTTGGTAAACACCAATGCATCAACCAATCTTTATAGCTAAAAATTCCAGTACCTTAAAATTCCAGTTATAAGCTCTAATAACTAGAAAAAAGTTTGGAATGAAGAACAAGTTGTTATTTCTTTCTTTCACTTTCTGACTCTCTTATGCATCATCAATGTTAGGAATGCAAGATACCAGAGATGGTCTTATTACTGGAAGGATAATTGTGTTAGCAGACTAGTTATACAGTATTTCAATGAACACTTATGATTGTTTCCAAGGTTCTGTGTCTTCCGAGGAGCTTATCAAGTATGCTCATAAGATAAGCAGCAGCAGTGCTGTAGAAGCACCAACAACTTGGATGCCAGGTAATCCATGAATAAATATCACCTCTTGACCTAACCTCTTTCACTCTGTTGCACATGAGGCTTATGAATACATATGCACCCACAATAATCCATGGTATCCCATTAGGAGCATAAGCAGGGGGGCACTTTGGAGGCCAAAGATGGCCAAAATGAGGACTTTTAAGAATTTATGTGGTAATTTTAAAAACATTTTTTTCAAATTTAGAATTTATGCAGTAATTTTCTTTCTTTTTTTAATAAAATGTAAAACGTAAAACGTAATGCCAGCTTTTTTATGTTTTCTATCAGGTGATCAAGGACGACCTTACCCACTAGATATAGAGATGAGGTCTGGACTACTTGGTAAACTTGGGGAAGGATTAGATACTATTCCTGCCTCTACCCTCACTATGGATGGGACATCAATGGCTACAACCACATCCTTAGCTGATGGTAAGAAAGTGCTACTGTGTGTAATATCTGGGAGTAAATCATGTGTACTATACATGTCAGTCAAAAAGCGTCTTTCCTACAGAATATTATGATAATTTGATAATCAAATCAAGGGTGCCATAGCTTTAGTGCACTCACCTCTGGGGTCTCTGGCTCAATTTCTAGACTCCACATCACATCACATGAGAAGATTTTGGTTGGGTTTCTYCCTTGATTTGAGAATATTTTACCAGGCTTTTCAGTTTTCATCCCTCTACAAACATTTAAACCTGACTACAGCTGTAGCTAAATTCCAATTTTAGCTGTGGGTTATATTAGGTGTTCCTGACTTTGATCAGCCTAGGGTTGCTTTAGGGAGTAAGAAGCACTAGCAAACTCCTCACTGACCATTACTTGTTTGGTTTGCATTTTCCTTTACATCATAGAGACCAGGGCCTGGTTGTATGAAGGGTGAATAGTGCTATCCAACGAATAATCTTATCCAGTGGATAAGTCAATGCTGTTTTTCAATAGATTTATCCACTGGATAAGATTTATCTGTCAGATAGCACTATCCACCCTTCATATAACCAGGCCCCACATTTAAAGATGACATACTTTCATCTTAAACATTCTATACTTCTGTCATGACATCAATCTGTCTTATTAATTATCCTTACCTGTGCTAACAAACACTTTATTGAAATGCTTTCAGACGGTATCATAAATGGTCAATCAACAGTGGGTTTATCATGGCAGTCACATTTACAAAGATTACCCAATACAATAGAGGTATACGAAATTCTACTGTGAATTCCTATTCAAAACATTATTTGCTTTTAAAGATCTCTTGCATCTTGCATCTTGCTTCAGGGAATTTTCCCTGGGTTCTGCGGTGTCCCCTCCTCAAAAATCAACTCCTGAATCTTAATTCGATCTTAGAAGATATTTTCAATCAATAGGGTTAAACTCTTATATCTCCTATAAGAATAAATTTATTCCTAATATTTGGAATAAAAAATGAGTTCCAAAGACTTTTATCACACGAATGAAACCAGAAATGATATAGACCTCTTCACCTTGAGCGTAATATTTTCCCATTTCAGACCACAAGTCATTCTCTTGAGAATAAAATTCTTTGTTTGAGTTGTATCCATATTCATGTGTCTTCTCATGCACAAATTATTATTAGACAAAGAAATGATACTCTAGGGAATGTCACGTGATCTGAAATGGAAAAACATGACGGTTAAGAGAGCGGTTTATTCATTGATCTTCCAACAAATTGATCTACATTTAGAATTAATGTAAATCTGAGAGGTCTGTTAAGTGAGTTCACCAAGACTTTTATTTTACATTCTATGTCATTCAACCTCTTTTCTTTCTCCAGCAAGACACGACTAGTGATGGGAACATAGGAGCTGCAAATGGCCGGCCAGATCACGCGGTAACAGAAGAAGCAGAAATCATGTCATCATCATCATCGTCCTCATCCAGTGACAGTCCTTAATGATGTTATCTTTGATTTTGTGCCGATAAATAACAATTATAACAGTAATATTAAACGCGATTGCTAAATAGCTTATAGAAAGGTAGCCCTTTTTATTCGTTTAGTTTGTTATTTACATGATACATCGAAGTACCACTCATTCACAAAGAAATAGGCTTGGGAACTGAATAAAGAGATGAAGATAGGATGGGAGACAACACCCCATTTGTTTAGTTTGTTATATACATGATACGTTGAAGTACCACTCATTCACAAAGAAATAGGCTTGGGGGAACTAGACAAAATGCTGACGATAGAATGGAAGACAACAGACTGCACATTCGAAGGCTTGCCGCGCTTGCAATTTGTCTTAGCAGAGCAAGCAAAGGTTACGGCTACAAGTAACTAAAACTGATCGTTGAACCTAGATGGCTGGTAGGCTAGTACCTTCAATGTTGATTGTGTACAGAGGTGCCTCTACCCAGCTCTCGTTTTCATTTCAGAATTCGATTCTTTTCGCATGAATTTGGATTCTTTGGAGGTTACGTTCATAAACATTTCAAAATAACGATATTTTTTAGTTCTGATAATAATATCTCGGATAGTGATGATGAATGACTGTTTATATGATAAATCTTTTTCCGCATTTGATTCCGACCCATGCGTTTTACAGTTAAGCGATCGAGTTCAGTTGAATTCTCTGTTTGTGAAGACCATATTTTTACTTTATTTTGACTAATCAAAAATGCCCTCTATATCATATTTAGCTTCTTATCTGACCTAAACCACAGATAGTGAGGCAATTAATATACCACGAAAAGTAACCGAGTATAGTGACGCACAGGCCTTAATTCTCCATCTGAGTTCGATGGACAAACAATGTGTTCAGTCGTAGTCTTTGGCTTCGGTACACACGCGCACGTTTAATTTTTGATGTAATGATTGCTTATATATGACATCCAAATGGGTTTTTGTTGACAAATTCAGACATGACATGCGGGTACTTAACACGAATAATCTGACAACCTATTTGTTCTTGTAATATCTCGATAACCACTCATCTCATCTCTTAATTCTCAGTTCATGGAATGCGTGAAAAAGACGTGGCGCCGAGAAAAGATGTTAAATATGGAATTATCATGCTTGTATGGTATGTTCGCACATTTGCTTTCCAAAAAGGCTGTTGTTTGCACTCGTTGAGCGCGCGCGTAAACAATAAAAAAATACAGCAAAGGACCAAGTATGATACCTGAGGTACGCCATGTGCTATTGACGTGCTATAGTCATGCATTACACAAGTAATGATTGAAGGTTTAAAATGAAGTAAGGTTGCTGACAGGTGGTAATGTCAGAGTGATGCATGACGTCATCTAACCCATGAAACTAAAACTACTTTTTCATACAGTCAAATAGACAAGAAAACAATGGAAATAAGATCTCACCTCTATAAGACTACCGTTAGACAATTTCGAGGGTTCAGTAAAACCACTCTAACCTTCACTTAAAAGATGCAMGAATATTGTTGCTATGTATCTAAAACTGCTACACATTTAAATGAGTCTCTTGCGTTGCGTATACTCATGCTTAACTCGAAGAGCCGTTTCTCTTAACGCTACGCACTTCCATGTATTTAGCATTTTGTCTTTTGGCTGATTCACAGGAACCCCAATTTAGATAAAAGTGAAAGGTGAAAATAAAATCGAAAAAAATGGAATAAATAATTTTTTAAATTTTAGGTCAAGATGATACGAAAGAGTAAAGAAATCTATACAAAAAGTACTAGAACATTTTTTTCGTACGCGATTCACCAACGAATACCTATGTTAATAATAACAATAATAATAGTTGATTTAATCGCTTATCGTCTRAGAGCGTAGAGTTCGTTCAAAATACGAACATTCTCTCAACCTATATAAATTATTTTGATGTTACACTTGTAAGAGACCGACTCCTTGAAGCGCCCGATACAGACATGACGATATAGAAAGGAACTCGGGTACTTGGACCGGCTCTTTGAGCACACGGTTATCAGTTCTATGTGTTTTCTATGCGCTTTATTGAAATCAAAGGGAAGGGAATAGTTTGTTTTTCTAATATCAGATAACAGTAAACTTGGAATCAATAAAAGCAGAGCATACATCAACAAAGGAGTCAGTATCCATGACGTCCATCCCTTGGTCAGTGGGAAGGCCTTATGTCTCAACATAAAATGCCGCTTGAAATTATTAGTTCAAGTTTCGTCTACGTTAGTTATCCACGCCTCAAGCTGCAGGTAGTAGTTATACATCTAACCTACGGACCGGCTAAAATGATTAATTAGAATTCTAAAGATTTTATTGTAGGATAGAACTACAAGCCTAAGAATAACAATACCAATACTTTCCCAAAAGATAGTTTTGAGGAAAATGTTTTCCACTGATTCGAAAACGTCATCACTTTTCCTAGTCCGCGCATGCGCACTTGATTGATTTGATTGATAACCTCGTCATCAAGATCGTATAAAGATCCCTAAATTATGAGGACAGCTGTACCAGGAGACCTTGAGGGAAACACGTGGTTGGCTATTTTCGTCGGAATGGAATTGTTTCTTAAAATAGCAGATTCAGTTGGGCTAATAATCTAGTTTTGATTGGCTTTTTAAAAATATTTCTGGAAGAAGATCGGTTAATTTTGAGTCGATTGTCGGATCCACGTGACAAAATTGTGTGTGTGTGTGTGGGACGAGGAAAATTAAAATTAAAAGTCAGTACGTATTTCTTGGCTGGTAGAAATTATGAAGAATAAGCAGAAAAAAGGTAATCGATTTTCCACCCACGTTGACCACCCACGCCAAGTCAGCGATAAAAGCACCCTATTGGTCTGTTAAGGCCTTCATCTTAAGCTGCGGTGATCTCTGACAGCACAGTTGGTCAGTTTAAAAAACCCAACCATTTTGGGACTTGTTAAAAGAATCCTTAGAGAGCGACATCGTCAAAGGAATATATGTGGAGTCCTGGAATAGTGAACGGCTAAAGCGGACGTTGAATCAAGCCGAGGGTAAAGGCCAGTAGATTTGGTGGTAAGTGTTAAACTGTTAGTTCAAGCTACTGAAAAACGGAAATTATGAGAATATATTCGTCAAAATATATCATATAAATAACACTTTTTTATAACTTCCCCGTCAGTCATGGCTATGATTATAAGATCTCTGCGGGCCGGAATACAGTCATTATTTTTTAGTACTACGACAAGAAAAAACTGGTATAAAGGCTTTTTTTAAATCATATGTTTTGAATTTTAGTAATGCAAAATGTTGTCAAATTTAAATTTATTTAAGTCAAAAAATATATAATTTTTGTCGATTGAAAAAATATCAATTTTCCATGCCTGATGAATTCATTCCTATCTAGACTTATCTTAGAAACATTAATAATATGGCACATCATATTATATTACTTAATTTGAAAGTTTGTTTTTAAAATCGTACAGGTATTATTTTTTTCCGTAATGTGTTCTAAATTTTCTAAAAGAGGGATCTTAGTTCGCGTATAATCGTTACTGACAATCCTGCGAATTACATCTAAATGGCTTATAATCGGCATGTCTTATATTATTGGTAGTTATTAGTAGTTATTAGTCTTATTATTAGTAGTTTATTGGCTGGTACTATGTAAGGTCAGTACTGGACTGCACCATAGACTGATCCAAGGGAGGCTATAACCCGCCACCATTTTCAGTTCCTGGGTAGGCTCGTCATCTGTTTCTCGTAGTTTAGCTCAGCTGTTTTGACTAGGACTATTAGCTCAGCTGGATGTGAACGATGAGAAAAACGATGGGCACATGCTTATGCTTCTAAGTATTCTAAGTCATTATGACATCGAAGTTGAGCTAAATAATGTAGAAAATGTATGCGCAATGTCTCTTAAGAAAACAGCCAGAGTGAAGCAGTTTCATTGAAATTATCTAAATAATGTTGGTTAAAAAATTAAGATCCTAGGTTGGATTTGAAAACTTATAAAAATGTTTGCTTGTGGTAGTCAAAGAAATTTCCATTTTATTCCTATCTTGGCTTGACGGCCTTCGCTAAAAATTCTATCAGTGAACAAAAGATTTTTGAAGTCCACTTCAGTTGATCAGTTCACTATTTTTGCTCAGGTTCACCGTAAATGAGCGAGCTTCGTAACGGTTCATCTTAAGGGACCAGAACAATCTGCTTTTTCGTGTAACGGCCGGGTAAGAATCCTCAAGTAAAACCAATATTCAACATTCCTGGAGTCAAGATTAACATACGAACACTAAAGTCTTGCGACATTACATATTCAACATCCCACACAGAAGAGCTCACAAGTAACTACTTTTCGTCAAAAAAGCTTCCTGTTTTTGTTTCGCCCACAGGTTGGTTTTCCAATAATATATGAATGTGGTGCCTGTCAATTAGCAGTCACAGTGTTGGTTTACATCCAATTATAAGAAGCATATCTATCACGTGTTTCAAATATAAGCCAATTGTAATACGAAATACAGCTTCGAAATTCTCCCCAATTTATAAAACTCAGGTGTTTCCAAGTTGCGCTTTTCGCATTCAAACTATATCTTGGTAAGGTTTTTATCTTTCGGCTTCTCTTATACAGCAAATACTCAAAAAAAATACAATACAATACAACATTATTTTATTGTATCGATACCTTGAATTTCGAAAAGCCCGGGGAAAACCCGAATCCATGGAAGTAAACTCTGTTCACCGAGATCCCTCTAAAGGCATTATAGTGACCTCTGATCCCTTGACGAATTGAAACGCTATCGCAGGCCTGTTTCTGGATCAAATGGTTTATGATATTGTTTTTAAGGTTCATTTTAGATCCATCGCAGTTCAAGCAAGGCAGCAAGAGTCCAATTCTGGTAACTGAGTGGACTGAATATAATGGAATGAATATCGTGCTAGAGTTCGGTGAGGAGGTACAATATGCACTCGTATGTATATTGTACGACTCTCATCGTAGTCTACATGAACCTATAAATCACTCAACCACGTGGCCCAGCCCTTGGTACTACACCTACTCGTCCATAGGGATGTAGGACGAAATGTAAGGTATTTAATATTTATCTCGCATGCATGTTGTACGACTTTCATCGTAGTCTACATGAACCTATATCACTCAACCACGTGGCCCAGCCCTTGGTACTACTACACCTACTCGTCCATAGGGATGTAGGACGAAATGTAAGGTATTTAATATTTATCTCGCATGCATGTTGTACGAATCTCATCGTAGTCTACATGAACCTACATCACTCAACCTTGTAGCCCCGCCCTTGGTACTTTACCTTCCCGTCCATACTGATGTAGGACGAAATGATTCAGGTATTTAATATCTATTATATTAGGTTCTTGTTCTAGAATGAGTATTTCGTTATGAAATTGTATTTGTTTGGGGACAGTTCCAAACAAGTTTGACCAGGCTACCTGATCAAAAGTTTGGTTGCATTGAAAGTCTAGTCTCGAAATCTACCATTCAGTCCACCTCCACACTAATACGTTCCATTTGAAGGCATACTTTTCCGACGCGGTTTAAAAGCGTCCACGATATCGAAAACGAATATTCAATTGAAAGCGCTCTCCAGAGTGGAAAAATTTGTAGGCCTATCGTATTCAGGCCACGTACACACTGGCTGTATGCACCTATGCGTTTTCGAAAATTACGCTCTTATTTCGCCAGCGTTTTCAAAAGCACTTCACTTTCAACATCAAAACTATTTCAAAATGCGTTGTCAGTCGAAGATCTGATCAAAAAATTCCTCTGACCGCCAAATTAGACTCGGCCTATCGGCCTCTTCCAATTTTTCGTCGGAATTTTTTTCATCCAATTATTTCCAAATTGAACAGCATGGAGTCCTATTACCTATGCAAATGGGTTTGGTTCTAGACTAAATCATCTTTTTTCGCTTGAAACTGAATAATAGGATGTTTCAGCGAAGTTAATTACACTATCCATTTCTCATAATCACAAGATCGACTCAGCTCCAGACCTCTAGGTTTTTAGCTTCCGTCAATCGAAAAATATTATTGCTATAAACTCAAACAGTTGGCAATTCGATTGTCGAAAGCCGAAAACCCAGACGTCTCGAATAGGATGGCTAGCAGTCTGCGTCGCGTAAATATGAAAATGGATGTCGCGGGGTCCGGTCATTTTTAGAGAAGGTACATAAGCTGCATGGGCGATTATTTTTTATGCAGGGAGGAGAGGGCCACGCACACATGAAAAGACATGGCCTGCCTTGTTTTACACCAGCCCCTTCCCTATCCCATCCCCCATCCCAATGCCCCTTCCCCACCCCTCCCCACCCCAATGCCCCTTCCCCACCGCACACATAAAAAGACATGGCCTGCTTTGTTTTGTACCAGCCCCTTCCCCACCCCCCCTAAATAATTACCGTTCCTTAAGTGACCATAAAGACCCCTGTAAAGAAAATAACCAACAAGAACAGACTAGATTTCTAAGGTGAATGTGTATTTTCGAGTATGAGGGTTTATTTAATAAATCTAGTTCAACTACATGATCAACTTGGTTTGATGGCGGCGTTCACCTCCACAGTTCATTTCAAAAACTTCGTTCCATTTTCTGGGGGATTATTCAATAATTAAAAACAATAATGACTAATAATTCATTCTTTCTGATATGTATCAACTTGCGAAAAAGAAGTAAAACTAGGCTGTTGTTAAAAAAGGTTCAAGAGCGCTTCTCAAACACACTGGCGAAATCGTACAATTTTTGTCCTGACAAAAAAAAGTTTTGGTGAACATCGATCAGTGCCTCCATGACACTCTTGSAATTTTTTTWAAAAAGCTCTTAAGGGTACGTGCCTATCAAGGAATGTCATGGAAACGCTTTTATTGACGTCCACCAAAACCTACTTCGTCGCRATAGCCATTGTAAGATTTCGCGCGTGTAAATAGGAAGTGCTGTAATCGGTACAATTGTTCCAATAAAGCTAGTCACTCGATCCTAAAATACGACCAATTATGGCCCCGGATACAAACATGACTTGTGTCTACAACAACGTACATTTTCTGCTATCCATCCAAAAGTAACGCATTTATCGGCTTCGTAAGTGAATAGCTTTATTGAAAAATAAGATCTGAAGGCCAAGAGGATAAGAATTCATTATATAGCTGTTTCTGTGGCAGTCGGAATTAAGCAAGAATATCGACGCAACGTGGAAAGCTACGTTAACTTGCCGCGGCGTCTCATTCCTCGCGCGTCATGATGTTGCAAATCAAACAGACACAATTGGTGCTATTAATAATTAGAGATGAATATCAAAGCTTTTCTTTGGAGGGAATCCAAATGACTGGGCCTGATTGTTGGCGGATAACATCTTTAGATTTAGAGTAAATTTCATCATATGTGTCACCTTGAACAACAGCTGTAAACAAAAAGAAAAGTTTGTTAACGACGAGACGCCACTTTATGTTACAATAATGTTGAAATAATACCACTGTGTTCCTTGATTACAGACCCATTTCATTAGGGTAAGCCTCATTTCTTTAGGGTATAAAGCCTAATTTCAGTGTCAGAATAATATTAACAAACGGTAAGGGAAAGAATACACAACACCAACAATACAAACACTTTTAAGAAATTTACTGGAAAGCATGAATATTCTACACGAGATCGAGACACCCTGAGGAACAGATAAATCGAAACTGCAGTGTTACGTAGCGTGACAGTACGGTAAAAGTCACGGTCACATCACGTCTGTCACGTTATGTCTTCCCTAGCTCTACAAAATCTGCCCTTATAAGGTTAAAATGAGGTTTTCATTTATATATCAAGACCTTTACGCACATTCCTACACAAGACATGCAACAGAGATCTTACCAGTGAAGTATTCCCCAAATTCTTGCTCAAGTTTCAAAGCCCTGTCATAAGTTTTGTGAGCCTGTTCTTCTGTCAGTCTCTTGTTCAGTTCTCGAATAGATTCTACAGACTTGGGCTTGATAAAGATGGCAATTGGATACAACTGCGCTACTTGAAGACGCTTAATTGCGTACCCGCTCACATCCAGAATACAGTGTTTGCCCTGACATCATAAAACACATYATGAGAATTCTTTCCTTTAGTGGAACTAATAAACTATCATACTATTCTAAATAAATACATTGATACCTACAGTAAGCGGAACCCTAATTAAGCGGATAGCTAGAGTTATACAGTCTCCAAGATTTCCTCCCAAATTTATTGTACAATAAGCGTCTCTTAAGCGGACACTTTTTATTATCAGCCATTTCGAGGTCGAGGGAAAAACTGGGACGAGCTGGAATTGCAGTGCAATGCTAACTCGAACCATTTTTTCTCAACTACAGAATGGCTAATGCGGACAGCTAGGTGCGGTCCCCAAACTTTCCTGCCAAATGACACCCTTTAAAAGCGTACACTAGGCGAGGTCCCGATGGTTTCCGATTTATACGGGTACCAAGTACAAAACATAATTTTTCCTACAACAACTTAAAGAAAATTCACAAAGAAAAGCATGAAATAGACCCTCTTCAATGTTTTCCTTATTTCCCATCTCTCGTAATATTTCCATATTTACATCAAAGTTTTGTAGAGGTACCTTTTCCGCAACCGTCTTGACTGATTCCACGCTAGTTCCATAAAGATTTTCATTATACTGGCCAGCCTCGATAAACATGTGATTCTGAATTGCTCTTTCCATCTCCTCGCGTGACTCAACAAAATGATAGTCACGGGCATCCTCTTCGTAGTCACGCCTTGCTCTGGTTGTATCTATAGAAATGTATATTTATTTATATATATATTAGCTATATTTTACATCACTCGTCGTACGTGGCTCTTCCTGAGGTTCACTCCACACGGCACGGCCATTTCAAAGATCGAATTGGAATGCACCCTTCTTAAAATTGTCTTGTATGCGAGGGTAACATGGAAATACAAAAGAAATGGCACAAATTCCATCGTGAAGAAGTGTGATTTCGTTGGTTTACCACGTTAGCCATGCATCCAAGACAGTTTTTAGAAGGGTCCATTTAGCATGCTAGGTTTTGCGGATGAAGGAAAACCAGAGGAACCCGAAAGAAAACCCTCAAATCAATAATGAGACCTAACAAACTCCACTCACATGTGATACCAAGTCTGGGAATCGTACCCGAGACCCCAGAGGTGAGAGGCAAGCGAACTACTGTTAAGGCCGGTTCATAGACGGTACGTTTTTCGCCTACAACTATCGTATACAAAACGCCCGCGTCTGTCGTAGGCGAGTTGTAGGCTTGATTTACACGCTACGACTCGAGTTGTAGGATGGCGCGAGCGTGTCGTATACTATAGCTGTAGGCGAAAATCGTACCGTCTAAACCGGCCTTTACACCACCCTTAATTCTCTTCACTTAGGGTACGTCATAGCCGCCATCTTGATTGACTATACTAAGCATTCCTCATTAAKCTTCTCTTGTTAGATCAACCAACATGGCGGCTGTTTCATTGTTATTCGTGTCTCAAGGGATTTTTCGGTCACGTGGTTGCACACCAAGAATAAATACAGAAAATAACGTGTATGATGTTTACAGTATTAAATATAGACTCACGTGGTACGCAGCTTCCAAATTTTTCAGGAAATTCTGATATCAAGTCGTCGTTTATACGATCCTTTAAAGGACCAAGTACGATAACAGGTCTAGTACACTTGAGCTCAAACTGAACCACAGCTTCGTAAGATAGAATAGGGTCTTCAGCACGAGCACTTGTACTGCTTTCACTATCACTAGCGTTCGAAGTATAGCTAGGGTCGATATCACTGGTCTCGTTTTCAGACTCTTTCTTGAAAAAYGGCAGTTTTTTCGAGAACTTGAAGCTTCTTTGTTTACGGACACTACCCGTACCATCGTTAAACGATCCCTGTGAAGGTTAGAGACCAAGGATATAAGATACTAGGATAAGTGCCTATAAATACGCGATAAGATATACAGCTATTTCAAAAAATGATGGTCAAGGTTTTGTTGTATTTTAAGTACTAAGCCCGAACTGCTCTATGGGCGACGCGAATCCAATCAGCGAAAGGTCTCAACGATATGGAATTTTTTCTTAACTTTGTCTGTACGTTTTTCCGGCATAATCTCTACTGTGCTTACATAATTTACATGTGAATATATATATTTCACCAACTTCACCAACTTTTTTTTAAATCGGCTGTATACTAGTTGATATACAATGGTTTGAAGTGGCATGGAAATACCCAATGGAAATACCCAGGCCGCAATGCCTAAAGGGAAGGAACAGTGCCATACCTATGAATACACAACATATATATTGCATTCTGATTGGCTGTATTTTCAATGTTRGACGATAAAGGATGGCGTATCTTACCCTTAGCTTGTCATCACTTGTTCGTGTGAACTTGACAGTCTTCATTCTTGCTTTTTCTCGTCTTTCAACCCTGGAACACAAAATATAGACGAAATGGCCAAGCTATAAGCTACAGTAATATATGTTTTCCTGTTTACAATATCTATGACAGCTATTTTTTCTATCTTCATTCTGATGAAAGCTATCACTATAGTTATCTGAAATGGGCAWTTCATTGCATACGAAGGTAAAGAGGTCTATAGTGTCTGTATCTTACCTTCGTTTACTGGGGATCACCCCACGTCCTTCTTCATCTCCAACAGCATTTATTTTTCGCGCCTGCCACCACTCGTCATCACTAGCGTTAGTAACGTGTAAAATGTCCCCGTACTGGAAGCTGAGTCCTTGGCTTGGGAGACCGCTGTCCTTAGTCTTATCGTAATCAAATAATGCTCTGTGTGTTACAAATACAAACAGCTGTATGTTAGTATGGGGATAGAATGGCTCGGAAAATATGTTACTGATTCATTTTATTCGTGGTTCCGGCCCATGGCTCAGTTATTAACGACTYGATTAAAAATAATAAGAAATGAAATTTCTATCGAATATTATTCATTTGGTGTTTCCTGGTGCGACAGACAGACTTGGCGCCGAGTCACCGGAAAGTCCTGTGACATGTTTATTTTCATCTAGGAATTTTGCCGCCCCGACATAATGAGGTCTAACTTCAAACTGTGACGTAATTAGCCGTCATTACATAAGTACACGTTAGAGCAGTGTTCGTATGACTGTGAGAAAACTCAGTGCCGTAAGCGTGCCATGCCGTGATGTTTTCTAGGATTTTGATTAGCTGATTTTTTTCTCGCACAATGTGATTGGTATGACAATGCCGTGACAATGTCGTGACATTGGCGTGACCGTGTCCGCGCCGTGTTTCTTGCACTTGATTTGATGGAGAGTAAATTTTTTCGCAATGTGATTGGTTTGGCTTATGCCGGAGTGCATTTACAGAATAGCTGTTATTACAGTTGAACCCGCAATGAAATATTCTTTTGTTTTAAGGATCATACAAGTGAGGCTATCTGGCCGATACAATGCTTGTTGTCTCATTTGCATCTTATCTGCATGCATCCATATCTGCTATTCAAAATTAGGTATAAACAATGTAATCATTCAAAATACACTGGTAGATTTTGAAACGTCTTTAGAAAACTCATTAATAATTCATGAAGAAAACACAATAGAAATCATGACCATGAAGGAGGTTTTATATCTGATATGGATTCGTCTTCATTTGCATAAACTTTAACTTGGATTTTCTCTATCAAACTTTGATTTCGTAAAGTATTCTGTACAATATGAGAACATACATCATTTGTTTTCTAAGCCGTTAAATAAACTCGCAGATCGTGTCTTATCGGGTYTAAAACCACTCGGCTGCGCCTCGTCTTTTATACCCGATAAAACACTCCTGCTCGTTTATTAAACAGTACATAAAAGTTCAGCTTCAAGTAATACCGTCCCATTGTGTTCAAAACTGTAGTCGAAACAATGTTGAATGTTTTATCGAAGAAATTTGAGGACAAATGGTAAACAACACTTAGAATAACATCTGGATAGCTAATAATGTATGACAGCCAAGTATGAGAGGCTAAAATAAAACCGACCAGATAGAAGCCAATACTGGAACTATGGAAGTCAAGATAGATACATGCCCTTAAAGTCTAAGCTATTTTTGTGTCTTTCTATTTATCGATTAAAATCTAAATTTGAAGAGAAATGTTCAAACTTGCGTCAATAATTTTCTTTTTCTTTCTTCTTTTTCCGTAATGTTATTTTCATGTAAATTTTGTCTGATCACAAGCTTAGGTTYATTTATCAAAAACCATGACATCTCATGCATAAATGCAAAGTCTTTTTTTCATGAATTCTTTCTATAATGAATTCAATTGCTCACCAGCTCGGAATACAATACCTTATAATACCCTCCACGAAATTACTTGATTCTGATTGGACAAGAGAAGTACAATTAAATCCCAAATTGTACTCTGTAGAGTCCCAATTACGTTGCTCAATTTTTTTGAGTGTATTATAAACAAAACATTCTACAATCTTCTCGTACAATTCTGAATTTATAGATACTCGTGATGTTTTGAAAATTCTCAAATTGAACTCGCCTAAAGGCTCGTCCAATTTTGAAAACTTTCAAAACATTACTCGTACCTATAAATTCAGAATTGTACTCAAGATCGTGCGATTTCCTATACTAATATATATTTTGTATTGTCTTTACATAATTTACAGTCCGCTAGCCGGGCCGAGTAGATGGTTTCTAATGGCCAATGACTCTTTGGGTATACCACAGGCTTTTTATTCCATTTGCAAACAAATCTCTATAAGCAATAACAAATACCTGACATATAGCTGGCGTTTTACCGACGTTACCACTCCTACATTATTGCTGTTCATCATTTTTTCGCGAAGATGGTGGATTTTAGCTTCAAACTGGTTATATTCTGCAAGAAAACAAGAAATAATCGTTATGCTACAACAGTTAGTTATCAGAGGATCGTTCGACCTGGCTTAAAAATAAAAAATAAAAAATAACATTTACATTTACATTTACATTTATAACGATGTAGGTTGTATCAAAGTATCGATAATTCATTGAACACTTCAAACAGGTATTCTATAGTACAGGGTTTGAAATTCAATGGATCTAATGAATAAATGCAGAGGATTTTTAGACCTAACAGTCTAAGAGGAATGTTATAATTAAAAATGTTGCGGTAGATCGCCTTATCTCGTTCCTAATAACAGACACCTTAGTATATAGAACAAATCAAATAACACAGCAGTAAAGTGCTATTCACCCGTACTAACCATAAAATTCTCCATACCGAATGCATTGCTAGACTAGAGATTCACTTTGAATAAAAAGTGATTCTATCGTAGTGCTAACAAATGGACACAAGACCAGACAGAGGTTAAGCTCAACGAAAACACACTTCGTTTATATGTTTGTGTTTTCAAATGATATAAAATGCAAGGCCGACCAGATGGATTCTTGAATACTTAATTCTGTTACCAAGAGGATACCAATTCCACTCGTAATGAAATAGAGTCACCTGTTAAGATAACACTACTCTTTATACGGCAGTAAACAGTACTGGAAGAAGTGTGAGAGATGCGGATTCTAGGGTAGACAACGGCTACCACGCATGACCCTAAATACTTGTGACTCAGTCATATTTCATTACCAGTACTATTGCGGCTCGCTTAGTATAAACACAAAAATGTTGTAATGTCAATACTATTAAAATAGCCCGCTAATACTGTGGGCTTTAGGCTCGTTCTACCGAAAACAGATGGGTTTAAATAAACCATTATACCAAAGAAGGCGTGAGTGAGACACTAGTGTCACGCTTTGACGGACGAACAAGAATTATTTCCTTTGATCAAAGAATATTATAAACTAGGCAGGTGGTTTATGAGGGAACCCTGTAGTATAAGCTGGTGGTAGGGTTAGTGGATAACAGACAAAACCAACGTAACCACAGGAATAATTACGAACTTCTTAACTTGTCAACAAGACATACTTAGCATGACGGATACCCTATTCTCGGTTTTCGAGCGGAACCGACCAAGATCATCAGTGTTGTTTTGTATTTCCATTGCCAACGCAATAACATAGAATCTTCTGGATTTTCAGCTCGATCAACAAATCATAATAAATTATTATTGTGTGAGTGTTTTCGAGTCGAGTAATGGAAATACCGTATGATGCACAGACGTGGGTGGTGATAGTGGTGGAGGGTGGTGGGGTTTTTTGGGGGGTGGGGAGGGGAGGTTTTTTATGTGATCCAGGGTTAGAACATTTGGAACATCAAAGATAAAATCAGAAATCGAATTTTAGCAAACTAGAATCCCATAACAGATTGCACTAATTAAAAGCTCTAGACTTAACCATTCCAAAAACAGAGCTCCTATTTGCAAGAAAAAATATTTAATTTATATGTTATGAATATTTCTTTGAGCATTGACCGAGTTAAAGGCATTCTCATCAGGCATAAAGTGTGTTGGTCTAGTGACCTGGATATCGAATACTGGTAGTGTTTTGGGGGGTTTCAATCAGCTGACAAAAACCTTTGAATCTCATTATCTGCACCTCCAAATGGTGGTCAAACACTGACCACCATGTGCTGTCATCTAGAAAGAATTCTATTGAAAACTTATCATTCAGTCGATGAACATTCTGTACAAGACAGGAAATGACGTCAAATAAAACCCACCAATAGTTCCCCTTCCCTCCCCTTCAGAGTAAATTACCTTCAGGCTTGTACTGTGCTGTAATGGTAACTGTGCTCCCAGCACCTTTCAGTGCTGCTGCAGCTTGTTCATGGGTTGCAATGGTGAGGTCTGTGTCATTAACCTATGCAAAAAAAACTATCTCTTAAAATCGAAATTTAATAAGAATACTATTAGACATGCAACTCAGCTCCCAGAAGATCCAATGCAATTACAAAAAAAAAAGGGTTCATGAAATGTGATAATATCAACCAACCATGAACTTGAGACAGCATAAATTATTTTGTCATCTTTGATCTAACAAGATCTATTCCAAATTGGGTTCAATAAACAACATCAACTAATAGATCAGAAACTTTGGCAATAGAGGCTTGGCACAATCAGGTGATGGCAGCCATGAAAAGAGGCAGGCATGCACACTTGAATCTGGTTTTATCTGGTATACATGAGAAAGGATTCAGTTTCCTTGGGGAAAGACTATCGTTGTGTCTCCTGTTATGGCTGCCATCATGTGATGGTGCAAAGCCTATATAATGCCCACTGTTTGAAACAGCCAGTCCCAGTCAATCAGGTTCTACTTTGACTATAGTCAGTAGTGATAAGTACTTACAGCTATTATCTGGTCTCCTCTTCGTAACTCCCCAGAAAGATCTGCAACTCCACCAGCCAGTATAAAAGACACAAAGATTCCCTCTCCATCTTCACCTCCCACGATGTTAAATCCAAGACCAGTAGGCCCCTTGTTTAGCGTAATTCTTCGCACCTCCCTAAAACACATAATGGCAAGAGGTTACTACGGTTGGGACTAGTTGGGACTGAGTTGGTGTGTTTAAATACAACAAGTGAATGAGAAAGAAACTTTATAGTGTTGTTACAAACTTTTTTTAGATGTTTAAGTTTCTCTCGCATTCCCTTAARACACATTGATATGACTAACACCCTGTGAGGAGGGTATATTTTTCTTCCCTTCTGTATGGCTGAGTGCAGAATAAGACCTTTGCAAGTAGGGTATAGTAACACATATTCTTGCATTCTTTATCTCAATGTAAAAAGCTCTCAACACTTCAGCTCAATAGCGAATATTTTTCAGAGAAAGAACAGAATTGGCAACATAGTTACCTTGTAAAGTCATCATCTTCAGGCACAGCTGCTGTCTTTTTAGGCAGTGAGTTGGTTTGTGGGAGAGGCGATGGAGGCAAGGAGTTAGTAAGGCTGCCGTTCTCTCCAGTCTTAGGTGCTTCAGGGGGACCTGAAATAAATAGAGAAATAAAATTAAAGTGCCTACGCTATATACCACCAAACTCAATATTTTCAGTATTGATTCTACATAAAGTGAATATTTGAATGGTAAAAGAATTTCATATGATTTGAGTGATGCCTCTTGTAGATATCAAGGTTTATATTTTCAATATATGCTAATGAGTGATGTCATAGACTCAAAGAAGGTAATAATACTAAGTGTCATGACTCACTTGTTTGAGTTGTTTCCTGTACTGCTGGTGTTACTGGTGTTAATGGTACTACTGGCGTAGGTACCGACCCCTCTTCACCATGAAATGCAGTAATTCTACTTATTACTATGGTTACTTTTTCTTTCGTTGCTTTGAGCACTTGCACAGCATCTTCATGGGTAACATCTTCAAGATTCTTGTCATTGACCTGTAATCATAATATTGTTACATCCTGATGTTTGAAAACTGATGTCTCCATTGACCCTTCAAGGTAAGTGCATTGTGGTCTAGATTGGGTATTTTATTCACCATGCCTTATGTGGTGTTGTTTGCATCTAAGCAAGATSACAATGCATCCTGTTTATTGAACTCGGAAAAGGTGTATCAAAATACTCTTGGACCAAGGCACTTTCAATTATAATTCTCTTTTTTATGGAATGGTCATTTTACATTTTCATTTCAAGAGCCATCAAACCCATCAAGGGATCTCTTACTGTGGTTTTCAATATTCTGCAAACTCTGTAGTTATAAGCTGCATGCTGAAATTTATTTGTTTTTTTTTTGCTGCCATCAATCAAAGATGATTAGTCAGTACCGGTTATGTTCTTGACTGGTCGCAGTAAGAAACCAATTTCACAACAAGCCGTTGAAATGTCTGAGTTTGTAGAATATCAAAAACCGCAGAAAGGATACAATGGGAACTAAAGCTTCATGTACTTTTTATTTCATAAAAGATTTCTTCAAATTGAGAATGAATCATTAGGATTTTTGTAGCAGTTTCTTATAGCAGATCAAAGTACTTACACTTATGATCTTGTCACCAACTTGCAGTCTGCCATCTTGTTGTGCTGCTCCACCATCAATAATTTTTGTTATATATATTCCATTATCACCAGGCACATGTTGGTTACCATGACCACCAGCAATACTAAAACCAAGTCCTGGGATGCAAAAAATTTTCCAATGAAAAACAATAGCTATACATGATTTGAAATATATCATACTATGGATGTCAGCGAACTGCCGAAACGAGTCAAAAGAAACATGCCAGGGTCACGCCTCGAGTCTATGATTCCGCACACAAACATAAAACTTTTGGTCTTGCATTCCTTTCTTCATGTCTGTAAAATTGTTTAGATGAAACACCACAGGACCAAAATATTTTTCTCAATTTTCTGACCAAAACTGGTGTAAATTACAGTGGAATACCTCCAAATATACATAAAATTTCCTGCATTGTGATTGGCTGTATTTTTTGAAGGCGTGAGATTAATGTGTAGATACCCTAATTAAGACCACATAAACTACCTTTGCTGCCCTTGGAAAGAATGATCTCTTCTCTGTGTGGCATTTTGCCTTTGTCCTTTTTTCTTTTAATAGCCTAACAAATACAAGAAGATAGRCATTGATTAGGTTAAGCCCCATTTACACTGGCAATTTTTGCGGCAATTTTTGCTGCAATTTTCGTGGCAATTTTTGGAAATATGAAATCTTTTGTCCCATCCTTCACAAGAGACATTCGTCTAGGAAAATCTTGGTATTCTGAAAAAATACTTTACAAGTAAATTCTTTACCATTATTTATTATGGACAAAATCACAAAAAAAATTGCAGCAAAAATTGCCGCGAAAATCACTAGTGTAAATGGGGCTTTAGCAAATATACTGAAAACAACACGAGAGWTTTTCATAATCCAAGATGCTTGGGTTTTTTATTTCTGTCAATCAAATTTCCAATGGTCTGAGTCAGTATTTTTGATTTAAATGACAGAAGCCAACCACCCGGGCATCTGTGGCATTGTAAGTTGCTAAATGGATTACAATACTTTTAATACCTATGGTTGTTGTTAACAAGGAAATAGAAAATGGCATGCATGCATACTATGTGCAGTTATAAAGTACAGGAGTTGGCAAACACAAGAGAAGTGTCAGGAGAGTCATGGCACATAGAGGAGTGCTTCTCAACACCTATCTCATGTTCAGTCAATCCCCAAGTGCTTTATAACTTACTGCACACAGCACAGCAATCAAGTTTTTAAAATTCTTTTTTTATAGAATACAAATTTCTATAGCTGTTATTTGGATAGTAATGATGCAAGAGGAAGTATGTGGGTGTGCTGTGTGCTCAGATAAAGCACATGCTGTCAACCAATCAGAAGATGAGATTATTGATTAATTACAGTTATTTCATAAAGTGTAGTATGATTGCCTACCAGAGTAACATTTTCCCCAGCTGCCTTGAGAGCATCGACGGCTTGCTGATGGTTAACATTGACAGTAGATGTTTCATTGACAGCAGTTATACAGTCATTGACTCTTAACCGACCATCCTGTGCTGCTGCACCACCCTTGATAACCTTAGTGATGTATATGCCATAATCATCATCTATATGAGGGTTATCTGTACCACCAGCAATACTAAACCCTAATCCAGCTCCACCCTACAACAATATATATATATATATATATAYATATAAAACATTAAGATATTAATAATCCATAATAATCAAGTATACCCAGGGCCTAAAACAACAGCCAGTCACTGGACAATGTCTGGTCAAAACTGGAACTTGTCCAGTTTAATCTTTGCTTTGGAATTCATTTTGACCGGTAGCTTTGAGCCAGAAACAAAGTATGACCAAGCTAAAACTAAGTTGCCCTGTCATAATAACCAACGACAGACTGTGAGTTATTTCAAGCCTTGTATGTATGCAACCAGAAAWAGTAAAGCATAAACCACCTTACAATAATACAATGAAACAAAACATAAGTTAAGAAAATAATCATCATTCATAATAATCACTCACAAATCTAAAAACTATACACATAAAAATATAATATGCATATTATGAAACATTAGACAACATACAAGATACAAAGGAGAAAAGTAAAATATCGTAGATTAAGTGCACTTCAAATCTCTAAAAGGAATAAATTTAGAAATTATTTTGAGCCCTTTGGTGGAATGTTTTTTTGATTTAGATTTGACGCCCATCAAGATGCATGGAAGAAATCCTCAAGGTTCAAGGTAAAATATTGTACACTGTAGATTAAGTGCCCTTCAATTCTCTAAAAGGAATATAATTTGAAATTATTACCAGCCCCATGATGGAATGATTTTTGATTTAGCTTTGATAAACCAATACACGATAGTGCTAGAAATTCTAGAGGTTTGGGGTAAAATATTGTAGATTAAGTGCTCTTCAAATCTATGAAGAATATAAAGTTATAAATTATTACAGACCCTTGCTAGAATGATCTTTAATTTTTAGGTGATGCCTATTGTAAACACTTGATAAGTCAAATTCTTGATTACATAAAATGATTGTCAGAATGGTTCAACCCAAGGACTGAAGAAATCATTTGGCGATACATTTGACAACCACGCAAGACTGTGCAAATATAGGCACTTTAAAACTTAGCAAGTGAATGACAGACTGACTGAATCATTTTACCCTTTTAAGTGTAATATCAAGGTACTCGTGGTCTTCATTGCTGGATGGAATTTCTTTTCCCTGGAGAATATAAAAACAAAATCCATGTCAATTTTTATTTTTTATTTTTCTTAAGGTAGYAAAGAATTATGCTTCATTTCTCAGCACACAAATATCCAATAACAGAGAATATTTTTAACCTGCAAAGTATAGATTTTTCGTATAATTTCGTAGATTTGAAGGAAAACCATGAAAATGAAAAAAAGTATATTTTGAATAAATTGAAACAAATTGTGTTGTGTAACCCACTGTCATTCAACATCTGTCAAACATGACCAGTTTTCTGAAGCAAAGCTTTTTTAAGCCCAGCAATAATCAAACAATACTACTTAAATGATGAAGCAAATATAATACAAATTCAAAATATATTGACAGAAATTTTTTTCAATAATTCAACCTAAAATGTGAGTTGTTTGAGATAATTAGAATATGCTGAATATGAGAGAATGATTAAAAAAACACGGAGTAAATCTAACAACACTGAGATAAAAACCCCATTCAATATGCAATCAAATGGGAAGGTGTTTCCAACCCTGTACGAAAAAGTAAATCTACAGATAAGACTTTAAGAAAAAGAACACATAACTAGCCCTACTTTAATACTAGTTATCTGAAAGGAAAGCCTCTTTAATCAAGGATACAGAATAATATTTCTGGGGGAAAATTCAAGATTGAGTTTGAAATAAAATAATTAGTTTGAAATTGGGTTTTCTAGAATTCATTATAAAAATATAACATATACTACTCTTATTTATATAGTACTCTTATTCTTTCTCAAAAGCTTAAATACAAGGCTTTTTTTCTCTTGAAAGCTTTGGAAACATAACAAGATTTATTAAAACCATGTCTTAAGCTGAAGCTAAAACGAAGAAAACAAAAGCCCTATTTAAGTTATAATATTGCAAGATATACTAAGTAATTAGCTTCAGCCAAAAATTCATTTGGAGAATGAGTATACATTATTCAAGATATGTGTGGAACTCTTATTAGACAACACAACCAAATCAAAAACCTTGCTTTTGCTGAAGCAAATGGTAAGAAATTTTGTAAAAAACATCATAAAGTCATGGCTAAAACAAGGTGAGATGATTTGAAATACTGCTTGAAGAATATTGTAAAAAATATAAAGCATATAGTATTTTTACCTTTTTATCTGGTCCATCTACTGTTTCTGGTGCAGGGGGTAGAGATTCTGACTGAGGAATAGCAACAGATAAACAAAATCAAGCAAACCTTGTCTTGGTCAATGCACTGCTAAAAAACATTTACTGTTGAAGTAATTAACTAGTTACAGAGGCCTAAAAAACAGAATATGAAACTAAGATAAGCTATTTACCACTGCTGTCGAGCGTCCACAACATGCAAATGCCTTTACCATACTTTCTTAAATCATTTTAGGACCAAAAGAAGTTCTTATATATAAGGAAAATGGTGGGAGTTGTAGCAGTCTGTCGATTATGCTAATTCAAATAGAAACATAAGCTTGAATTCACAATGCGGAAAATGATACCAAATAAGTTGGTAGTGATGGAAAAGTATCTGGTGAGAATCACAAACAGAAAACACACAACCCCAGTGCTAAACAACACCAATCACTAATCAAAATATGCTGTTAACATTCAACTAGAACATGATTAACCTTAAACTGTTGTTAAGATGATGAAACRATCATTTCTCCTTAACTGAATATGACACAAATACTAGTCATGGCTTAATATGCACTCTCTCAGTTTATAATACATAAATGTGAATGGTAATTTGGGAGAATTTAGATTTAATTGTTTGGCATTTTAAGATCAAGCATTGTTTTCTCCACACTTGAATGAGCATGGCACTCTTGGTGACATCATAGATCAAACATTTCAGCAAAGCAGACATCAACAATTGCTAATAAAACATATGCTTTGAATTTTAGTAAGGCTTTCAACAAAATTGAAAAAAAGTTAAATCAATTATTAGCTTTCTTAAGTTTTAAGCAGGTTAAATAGAATTGTAACTCATAAAAACCAGAAAAAAAACCTTACTAGTAAAAATATTTATTCATAAAAAATATGAAAATGTCTTTCTTGACATATATGAATCTAAAACAGTGTATAAAACAACCCAAGTCAGCAGATGACCAGTCTAAAGCATGTGAAGAATGAATTCCAATTCAAAGAAAATGAAGATGAACCACTAGGCTAGTGACCTTATGAACCCAGTTATCAAAACTCAAGTGAGTATTGATAACATTAAAACCAGATGCTCATGCCAGTATTGCTAAAGAATCCATTACAGTAAACATCTACACAAACACTTTCAAATAGAGATAATTGCGAGTTAATTGGGCAATCAGAATTGCACATCTCAATAAACACAACCAAAGGCTTTAATCAGCTTAAGAAAATTAGGAAAACTGATACCTAATAACTAGATAAGTCTTTGTATCATATACTTCTAAATTCTTGTGTTCAACTATTTGATGTTTTTTTTYCTCATTTTTTATACTCTCCTTTAAATAATATTTTTTTCTGACTTTTGGAACAGGAAACAACAATCCTTTCAATCATATGAGTTGAAAGAATTAGGAATAAACAAATTTTATAATTTCTTACAATGCTATCATGCAACATGGATGTTTGTTTGTTAGTGATTTCATAAAGAAAATTAAATGTTGGTGTTCATGCTTCAACTCACAAAAAAAATCAAACTTTTTAGGAAAACTGAAACTTGAAAACTGAAATACTGGAACTTGGAAGTGTCTTCACTACAAAGATACTTGATGTAAACAGCTTTGAGGGGACTCTAACGAAGGTTTTGTCTGTCACTTCACTTATTGATTATACCGGTATATATTCTTTTGTTCAGTTAATTAAGAACAATAGTCTTTTCCTTTATCAAAAGGTAATAGAAATTGAAAGAGAAAATTAAAATAAAAATTTGAATGACAAAGATCCACTCTTGTTAATAGACATTTTAGATTACATGAAAATATTTTCATACTGTCAAGCCACAGCTTACTAATTTATCACTAGGATTCAGTTTGTAAAGAAACCAGTTATATTCAAAAAATGCTGTATAAGGACTCTACGAGCCTACATGTCTTGGTATTACAAGAATCCTGATCACCTGAGGGCCAATGTTAATGACACTAGACCTAAGGAAACATCTCAGCAAATGATGTCATAAAAAATAGGATGGATTTTCCATAAATATATAGAGGATATTACATGGGCGCGCGGAGATACAAAATTTATCTTTGAGTGTTGAAAAGATCTCTCACAAGTGAGCGCAGCGATTTTCAACATGAGAARATAAATTTCGTATCTCCAAGCGCCCATGTAATATTCTGTKTATTATATATTTATCCATAAAATCAACTTAACAAGCTTTTTATTATTATAAAAAGTTTTTTATTTATAAACTATAGCTTAAATACACATGGTAACGTTATTTTCACATGTGAAAATATCAGTTTTTCGAAAAGGAGAAATATAGGTAATTTATGGATAATTATATGATAAATATATATTTTAATTCTATTTTTATAACATAAGGTCGTAGATATTTCCTGTTATGAGAGAAAGTAACTATGGAAGATTATGGTACTGGTTTGGCCCTACTGGTCACCTAAGTAAAAGGGTGCATTCACACTAGGCAAATGTTTTATTTTGTTTTTTACAAAAAATCTGTCATCATTGTGCGGGGATAAATGTAGATATATGTTTTTGCATTGGGAAAAAATTTGTCCTGGTCAACCAAACTTCAAAGGAGCTGTTGTCCTGCTTTGGAGGCCTCAAACCCTGAGAGACAAACGTTAAAACTTACAGGTTTGTCAACTTTTTTATGTTCAAAGACAATTGATTGTTTGACATTTTTGAGGTCAGACAATTATAATATGACGTTCTAGTGTGAATTCGATTTACAAGACAAAATTTTGGTTTTAAAGGGCCAAATGAATTTTCTCGGCCTAGTGTGAATGCACACTATATTATGATATTACTAAAATAATAAAAATCATATCRACAATACTTTGAAATATCAATTGCATACTGAAAAGGATTTATGGTCATGAGTTTTCTTTGAAGTTGAAGACGACAGGTTTTGACTAGAATAATGAACTGATTTCAAAAACACATCTTTAAAAGAAAAATAACAGAACTATCAACATATTTTGGAACACTTGAAGCCAGTGATTAATGATTTAAAGCCCTAATGTGGATGCCCTTGGTCAGTGAATTGGTAGAAATTTATAGGTAGATAAAAAGAATGAAAATGATTTGAATCTATTCTTAAAACCACAAAATAACATTATCATGCTGTGGAATGAACTCTATTTGTAACAAAGAAAGTTAATATATAGGTGAAACTGATAGTGTAATATAATCTTTTACCTTAAAGGAATGAATCCTTATCATAATTGACATGTTAATATATTGATTTGTTTCATAAAAAGGAAGGTATGTAGATTGTTAAATAAGATGCCCTTAGCTTTTACCTATGCACTCAAGGGTCACTCAAGCTCAGGTTTTAGACTGTTTTTTCTCATAATAATTAGGACACTATTTAATTAAACATTAATAACTTTAACAAACAGCGGGGGGAGGGTGTTGTTATCATGCAAATTAATGACTGTTTAGATGTATAGAGAGGTTTATTGTGCAGAAACACCAACAGGGACGACACTTGAAGAAAGTTAACCAATCATGACATAAGTGAAACCAATCAGGAACAAGCATGGAAGAAAAAACTTGTTATCAACAACTATGGTAGGGAAAAGAGATGTTGATTGGCTGCAAAGTGGCTCTTATTTCAACCAGCTCCAATAGTCCCTTACACAGTTCCCTGCGTCATCTCGAAAGGTAGCCATGCCTATACATCGAAGCGAGACGAACAGTGAGCTTGCAATGATAGAGACATTTGAATAATTGTCCAAGGTGTTAAAAAAAGGTCTCTATCATTGCAAGCTCACTGTTCGTCTCGCTTCGATGCAAAGGCCCGCCTACCTTTCAAGATGGCGCAGGGAACCGTGAAGGGGACTTATGCAAATGAGAATTTTTTTTAGCAAGGAAAACTGGAGAAGCACAGGAGAACACTAACAACAAATTATTCACACAAGTTTTACCACATTGCGCCAAGAAAAAAATCAAACCTAGATCACRATGGTGAAAGGCAAGTTCTCCAGCACTTATATACTATATACCAAGGCAAAAACAGATGAAAACTTTGGAAATCAATAGAAGGAAATGTCTGATAACATGAAGGTAGCCATATGAAAGAATAATCATTTGCCATGAATTTTTTAATGAAAGCTRTCAGAGTAGAGGAAGGCAAGGACCTCATAAGATTAAAATTATAATGCTACATTTGCATGAATCAGTCTGTTCAGTTTCCAAGGCCTTGCTTTTATGTATACTTTTCATTTAACTACACATGCTTATGAATGGACAGTGCTTGCTTGGAGAWACTTATATTTCACTACCATCAATCCCTGTAAGAGGATTACATGAGGATTGCTTCACACACACTACAACTACATATGAAACCCTACAAAGCGGCCTATCGATACCTTGAGCACAATGGAGGCAATGTACTATTTTCCCACCAATAAACACTATTATGCATTAATGTTGAGAGTTTCCCAGCATATCCACAGGAATCCCACATGAATTAACAAAATTTTGGTGCAAAGATACAWGGTGCAAAAAAGTAATTTGTAGTATTTTCCAAAAAGAAATAACAAATCAATAGAAATTAGACTTATTAACTTTCATGAAAAAAAGAAAAAAAAAGAAAGTGTATAATTTTTAGTCTTAAAATAAAATGGGGAGYTGTCACCCCCCCTCTATGCTGCCCACACAACACTCAACTCTCGGCATTTAAATCATTGCTACTATGGAGCCAATATTTTATTAAAACTGTTCAATGTATTTCAATACAAGATTAAATGGAAAAATATATTTAAACCATGACTCAACGGCATGCAATTTAATAAATTGAGTTGTCTTAATAAATTTTAATTTTCATTTAGAAATTTGAATTTTAAAAATTATAATATAAAATATAGATAAATTTGATATGATTTGAGATTATTTTGATATGTTTAATATTGGCTAGGAGATAATAGACCACGTTTGGTTTCTTAAAATTTAGTCTTGATTTAGAGGCTTATGGTACTTCATGTATGGTAGAAAAACACGGATCATCACATACATTTATTGGTAGGAATAAAAAATGCATCATATATGAAGTTCCTACCTTTCGGCAATAATAAAGATAGTTTTGGTAGAAATAATGGTCAGTTCACTACAGTCTATTCGATAAAGTTAGGATAAAATCTACAGCACTATATCTATGGATCCTTTTGAAGATTTTGAACATTTTATTCCGGAAAGCCTCGTTATYGTGCTAGATTTTAATATCTCAAATGTGGCCTATCCAAGGAAAGAATATCAAGATTTCCTTGTTAATCTGCTTCCATACCATTTTGCTGGACCTACAACAATAAATACAGAAGCCACAATGAAGATCAAATCAAACAATTTACAGCATGCCRTTGATGGGTGCATCATATTTTTTCATTTCATTTTATAAAATATCTTAAGAAAAACAGGCTCCATGCAATTGTGAATTTAATCAAATGTGAACTTCAKGAATGAATCTTGATAACAGCAGGCAAGTTGCAGCAGTACTATTACAGGAATTTAAAATGATTACGAATGGGCAGGTAGATGTATTTTAAGCAAAGTATGAATGACAAGTATGAGGCTAAGATATGTGACAGGATCATTATTAGCAGAATGAGTCCAAAACTTTCAACTCGCACTTCTTCACCATTTCAGTGAAATTCTACACTGAGATTTTCTTAGTTGCTAATAGGAGTGGTTGATCGAATTGATTATTTCATTGCTACACTGATAAGTCATAACTAAATTTACAAGACCAAATATCAAAATCAAATTATTATAATCAGTCTTTTTCCAGACACTTCTTTTTCAAGATCAAATAATCAATGTCTTTTCTAAGACTCTTTATTTTCAAGACCATATAATTAATTTCTTTTCTAAGACTCTCCATTTTCAAAAACAAATATTCAATGTTTTTTCTAAGATTCTTATTTTTCAAGTGCTTCCAAAGTGCGTTTAAAAATAAATTTCAAATTTCAGCACTTTTTAAAGACTTTAAGGAGGAGCTTGGACCCTTTGTTTAAGTGGCAGGTATGGCATTTTTCAGTGGCTTAGTCTGTTTTGCATTATATAATATACACCTATTAGTCTTGTACACCTCAAGAACAAGAGAATATTTAAAAAAATACATTAATGTTAGTAGAGTACTGTGTGCTTCGTAAACAATGAAAATAGTAGGAGTGTTTGTGGAGCAAACCTCATGGAGTCCCCTACAGGGGGTGATGTTGTAAAATATAACTATATATATTATTATTTTATTTCATAATGCATCCTTGTTATTATGACATTAATATGACATTGATATTTATGTCTATTTAATGCAAGCATAATGCTGTTTTTAGATATTTCATAACTAGTACTAAAGGTGCAGACACACTATCAGACATCACCTGCAATGTTGCATGTAAAAGACTGTCTTTTTTGTTACATGTAATTTAATCACAGAGTTGTCTAAATAGTTTTAATTCTAACTCTCAAAAAGCCCCGACACTGCAAGAGTGCTGAGACAAGATACTTCAACCATGGTTATTGGGCTACTTGTGTTGTGACCTTTTGCTAGTGGCCTTCTCAACCCAGAAGAATACAGACCTACCCCCTTGATGAAAAAGAACTCACATATAGCACTACTCACTATTTATTTTAATATTATTTCAATAGCAATGATAAATTCTTTGGACTTAGCTTTAGTACTAAAATTCAACATATACTTATATATATAAATAATTGCAAATGTGAAATTTAGCAGTTATATGTTGTTGTTAGACCTTGTTGTTCGACTTCTTAAGTCAGTCTGTAAATCCACTATGCAATTTAYGAGAAAAAGATCACATGCCCTTGCGGGACTTGAACCCATGTGAGAGGTACAATTATGTATAACAAACAAAAGCAAATTCAAAAACAGTCAAACCTAGGTACAATATCATATTAAAAAAGACATCAACAATCTTATATCCAGGCATGATGCTTTTTGCTCAAAAAAGAGGATTAGAAATAAAATGCAAAACAATTCTATAAACCTCTTTACCTTGGTCCAAATTTTTTCCCATTTTAGACCATGTGTCATTCCCTAGAGTATCATTTCTTTGTTTAATGGCTGTGCATGAGTAGACACATGAATATAAAGACAAATTAATCAATAATCTTATTTTTAAAACAATGACACATGGTCCAAAATTGAAAAAAAAAATGCTACGATAGAGGTCTATTAGACTTCACCAAAGAGATTTTACCAGGAAGAAAAAAGCATTTGTCGCCAAATTCATATCAATATAACAAGTAAAGCTTCCTCTGGTGTTAGCCCAGTATAAAAGATTAAGTTTTGTCAGGTACCACAAATATAATTTCTGATGTATATGTTATGAATGAATCTAAATTTTATTTCTGACTTTTCCAATAATAAACATAAAGATTTAGAAAATTCTTGGCACAGGTATGTGCATTTGTGAACTCACCACCAACTCCAAACATGTTTTATAGATGAAAGAATGTTTTAAATGGAATAATAAAAATAAAATATTGAAAAAATATTTAGCAAGTTACACAATAATAGTCCTGCTCAGGGTTCTTCTGCCATATTGAATAAACTATGTTACTGAACAACTGAACGATGTAAAAGAGATGAATGATTAGTTGATACATGTTTTGTTGATCATAAGACATTGTTAGAGGTGTCATTATTGTCTCAGTGTATGTTATTGAGTGCTTTCTGTTTTCCTTTTTGACTTTTCTGCTCAGTTTACTTTGTAAATATGTGACTCACCATTTGTCTCATTTCGATGTTTAACTACTAATTATTATTATTTATTATATAATTACCAATGAAATATCTATTTTTCTCTATTTCGAAAAATTGATATCTTCACACGTGAAAATAACACCATTGCGATAGCTATTCAAAAATACACAGAGAGAATTGCCTGAAAAAGCCAAAACATACTTCATTGATAATTATATAATAAACAGAATATTACATGGGGGCTTGGAGATACGAAATTTATCTTCTCGTGTTGAAAATCTTTTCAACACTCAAAGATAAATTTCGTATCTCTGCGGGCCCATGTAATGTCCTCTATTTATTCAATATGGCAGAAGAAACATGAAGGTGACTATCCGATATATAAGGTAAAAGGAATAATATACACTAACAATTTTACAAGCTTAATAAGCAAAAAAAAAAAAAAAAAATGGTTGGACATTCCCTCTTGTAGTCAAAAACTTACCTAGCTCTTTCAAGCTATGAATGATAGGAAAAAATTATCGAATTAAATTTTAAAAATATTGAACACCTACCGGAAATTGACTTGAAAAAGAAACAGGGTATGGCTCTGGCTCGCTGCTCTGTGTCTCTGGAGCTCTTTCATCTCTTGGTGTTGAAATAGCCTGTAGGTTATAAAAATGCATAATATATTAAATTAAGGATGTAATACCATTTCATTACATAATAAAATATGCAACAGTTGGCCGTGTATGCATTATTACTGTTATGAAGTAGAAAAGCCATACACATCATGAGAACTAGGCCCTCAGAAAACATGTGTGGATATAATAATAATAAAAATGAATAAGGCTCATTTCAGATGCCGCTGGACTATGCCCCAATCTTAATTCCCAGACTTGAAGCCTGGCAAAAGAGAGGCATTAGAATCAGTTTTGTGTGTCAGTTCTAATTCTACATGGTGAATACTGCTGAGTTTGGCAGGCTTGTCATATATCATGCGACACTAGAGCAACACCAGATAAAGCACTAATAACTTTTTAAAATTTGTGAAAATGTGGTTCGACATGTTTGCTAACTTTCTAATGAATGAATTGTTTGCCATTCCTTGTAATCCTTTCTGTGTGTTTGCTTATGAATATGAGGTATGTAAACTTCATTGATTGATTCTGACAGTGTTTAACAGGAAAGCTCAGACATTCAAATCTATATAATACAGGTGGGATAAGAAATAGGATTAGCTGAACTACGCAAATATTCACAAAATGGCAACAGAAATGACAAGAATGTACACCATACAGCGAGAGCCCCTATTCTACTGTATATATTTCGGTAATATATATTATAGATACAAGGTCAAATGCAATAAGTTGCTATATAATACTGGGCTCAAGTACAAAAATGTTCAAATATATCAATATATACTGTGTATTAACTAAAACTGCAATTATATGCCTGAACACTGTTGCAATTGCTATGCAATAATGCAATGATAGAGAGTGAGGATGCATGACAGGTTTAATGGACAATAAAGAACTATCAATCAAATAAATCCTTAACACAAATATCTAATCATAATTTCTATGCAACTTTTGGTATCTAATAATTTCTTTGATTTAGCAATAGTCTATTACCCATAAGTGAGGGTACATTTTTTCATTGGGGAGTAAGGAAGAGCTGGAGCCTCAGAGAGGAGGTCACCAGTAAACATATTTTGAGCTTTCTTGGAAAGTCAAACCCTTTTTATTTTGATAATTTAAGCTGTTTCCTTGTTGAACTAATAGGAGTCATGGATTTCTTACTTAGGGTGAAGGAAAGGGGGAGAACTACAACCAATTTTTAAAACTTTACTGCCAATCCCCCAGCCCTCCCCCCCTCTAATAAAATAATGTACCTTTTCTAATGTGTCTCCAATGAAAATGATTGTAAGCTAAAAGGCTGCTATCTCTCTTTCTACATTTGCAGTCTCCCAAACTAATAACGACCAGCTGAACAAAAGCAACACTTTTTTTTGCTGAGGGAGATCTCCAAAAAAATTATTTGAGTGGCATTTCCATTGCACAATTTGACAAAACTGTGATAGAAAAATTTGTGTATTCAATAGGAATTTTATAGTTTTCCTCTCTACACAAAACCTAAAAAGGTAAATTCAAATTCAATCTTTGAGTTTCCCTGACTTTGACCAGCCCAGAGATTGTTTCAGAGTTGAAGGACTTCAAAGGATATCTGACCATCCAATATATTCCCCCCTGCATTTGTAATGTAATAGTATGCCATGTTATCCCAATTCCTGTAATGGAAAATACTGTTTGTTTTGCTATGACACACAAAGGATGTCTCTGAAGATCTGATCACATAATAGCAGATGGATATTCATGCTGGCAGCTTGTTAATAGCACTAATACATATTCATATCAATACCATACACTAGGTTTTTTTTTAAAGCACTATACTACATTGGCTTTCCATGTAAGGTTGACACCTTGAAACAATGAAGATGTTTTTGGACAGTAATGTCATACAAACATTACATGATAAGACTTCGTGAGAACATTAAAATGCAGAACCCAAGCTAAAAAAATATCAAAGACAACAGGAAAAGAATAATTATTGTTTGGGAAGCTCCTAGATGTACCTCCAACTAACATGCTTGAACAGAATGCATCTAAAATGTAAGCACGAAAATAAATGATCTACCAAAAGAGTCAATCTTCATACGAAACGTATGCAAAAAAAATTCAAAATATTTTTACTAAACATCTGAGAGTTGGACTAACATTGAAAATTAAAAACTGTAGATTGAAATTTGCCTTGAGGTTAAAATGTAAACAAAACGGTTTGATCCAATTTTCTGTCAACATTAAACTACCCAAATAATTTCTATATGTGCTCTATAGTTTTAATAAACTTTGTTTGCAATATTTTTTAGGATAATCTTGATTTGTAAAATGAAAAAAAAACGACGCCAAATGATACAGTAATTGTTATGGAGTAACAGTTCAGAGTCACGGTCTAGCAATGCCTCGAGATACATGAAGGCACAACACAACCAGCTGAAACTACACAAATTTAGTTGTCCAAAGTTTTTCTTAAGGCATTTCTAACATTATTTTTCACACCTTATCGTTGTAATAGTGGAGTTGACTATCGTCGCCTTGATCAGAGTCAACTGGCCGAGTTTCCCACTTTTGAGCAACCTCTAGCGTCTCGTATGCCTTTTGCTGTGGGGATTTACTGCCATCTAACAGCGTTGCCTCATAAAATTCTTGAATATCTGTCAATTGAAATAATAAATTAAGTACATAATAAAATAATTCTTATATTGGAGGAACCGTGGTTCCTAAAAATTTAGAGTAACGAATTTGGAGGCAAAACTTCGGTTCCAAACCTAAAGCTGGATCCAATGTCACCACAAGAATTAGAAAATCCTTGGGGAAATACAATGATAATAACTATAGAAACGAAGGAGGATTGAAATTTTGAAAGACCGATGGAAAATATGAGCTCAAAAAATATTTTTAGTAGGTTATACAGAGAGGTATATTAAATACTAACCTAGCAGGGCTAAGAAGAGACGACTTTGAAATATTCGGATTACTCGCTCGATAGCACCTCGTAGAGCTCTGTCCTGAGGTTTGGTTAACTTTTCGTGATATTTCTCTAGCAGCTCCAAGGCATGGTCAGCATCTAAACAGATGTAATGACAAAATATTACATCAAATAAAGAAATAGCCCTGAATTTTTCTCCCAAGTCAGATCGCATAACAACATATCACACATTCTTAAACTTACCTTCTTTGTGAACAGGCATAGCTCACAGCCGTCCTATCTGAGAACTCAGAGCATTAAATACATAAGGCTAAAGGAAAATCCCCATAAATCCCTGTGGCAAGACTGTGAATGTTTTGCTAGGTATAATGTAGAAGAAAAAGAGTAAAAATAAGCGGTAAAAATGACTCGGAAGAAGAATTATTCAGTTSAGCGATGAACGCCTTTCGCGTGCCATACAGAACGCTTTACCCTCACGTGACACGCTTTAGCCAATCATGTCTTTAAATCTCTCCACGTGGTACAGAATAGTGAGTTCTGATTGGCTTATTCTTCGCATATGTTTTTTGATAGTCAGTCGAGGGGAAAGAATATAACAATAATATGGTACAAAATACAAAATTGCTTTCTGAGGGTTTATATTTATACTGTCCTATAATAATAGACAACAATTATATTTAAAGTTCTAGAACAAAGGCATGTTTACACCCACTCTTAGTTAGACTCTTCTCGCGTTTTTTTCTATTTTTATGAAAAAATTATGAGCCAGTCAGTCCACGTCACACCCGGTACAGGAAAATAAGTTTCAGCCGTCTATGTTTTCAATTTTTTTACACCGTCAACTTTTTTTTACACCAGTCAGTAATTGGGATTATTAGAGTGTATCAATTACAATGCTTAATCACGTGACTGCAGATGGTTAAGATCATCGTGTCGTGAAGATGTTCGCCGGTATTTTTCAGCTGTTTGAGGGCAAGTCACTCCACCTGAACCGAGGTCATAAAAAATATACCTATGGGGTTTTTATTTCGCTATTTTTTGGGGTCCTGCCTTTGAAGTCAGCCTTCAGCAAAATTTTTTTTTAAAAAGTTGCTTATCTGGCATATTCCTTCTCAACCTGACCGACACTGCCTCGACACTTCTTACACTAGGGGTACACTAGGCCGGTTCAGTTATTTGTTTCCCAGGGAAGGGGGTCGGATTTAGGGGCGTGGGCGTGAGATCAATATTTAGGGGCGTGGCCGTGAGATCATGTTTCCAGGAAGGGATTATTTTTTACCTACCATGGAGTTACGTCGTTGGAGTCCAAATGCAATCCAGCTAATTTTGTTTGTTTTTTATTTCATTTTATTTATTTTATTCTACTATACATTTCATAAGCTGGTCCATCTGATTCCAACCTGCTTTCTTTAGCCCAGAAAAACAACCACGATCTGCTTTATCTTATGCGGTTTAAAATACCACTGTATCAATTACATTAATAAATATTGACCGCGCGCCTTTATCTATTGATGATTTTTGCTTATAAATTTCGTTAACACATTTATGTAAGATAGTAATTTAATATCAGCTCCTTTCCCAATCAATTAATGTCCACTCTACCTAATAATGTCATCGCAATTACTATTTATTATACATGCATATTACTGATAACCTTCCTTCTAAATATAAATTTATTTCGCGACCTCGTCTAAGATTTCTGTCTCTAAGGAGCTGAAAAGTTGTGTCAACGCATGCCATTGTTACGAGATGTTTCAAAATGCCGAGCAAAGTTTTAGGGCACGCCTTGGATTAGGATATTTCTCAGGGTCCAAGTGGATCATTGTGGAAGTTTGAGTTACATTCTATTATTCTCTGCTGGTATCTCTCATTCTTTATTTCCTCTCTCGTTTCCTATGGAAGATGTCGGGAGAGGGAACTGAGTTCAGTCCTTCCTGGAATTCTATTAATCTCTGACCATGCGCGCTCACGTGTGGGGTCATTTTCTAATTTAGACGTTCGAACGCAACACACCAACGCACCTATACTAGCTACTATTGAACTTTAAGTGCGGTCTTATCTGTTCACTCGCACACACTCTTCCCGGTGCCTTGCGTTCCACGCTTTGAGTTTACATGATTTACTACAATAGAATACCTCTTTACAACGAGTGCAAGCCGAAAGCCGAACGCCTATCGATCGGCCGCACTCATAACAATAACGAAACCGATTTTTCATTACTTTCTTTCTCATCTTCTGCGTCTCTGTCGCAAGCGCTGATATGCTCATGTGATTAGCGGACTTCATTACAGCGATGCGCAGACCACACTTGTCATCGCGACCAGGTGACGAGCTGAGTGATAACATGCGAAGTTCCTCCATCTATACAAGAATGCAAGAAAAGAAGACGAGGTTATAATATTAGTGCTAATGACGAGCAACATTTCTCGTATTACTTGAACACAACGACAATGTCGCGAAGTAGGCTGCACGATTTGTTGGGCGTTGAGTGTCGTAGTCCAGAATTTGACCGCCTACTTTAATCCATGCGCATAACGAAAATGGTCTCAGTACGCAAAAAGAGAAAACTCTAGCTGCTCAGCGTGTTTATCACACGCGAAGCTTTAAGAGTAATTTCTAGAAGGTAATTTCTACTTCTGCGACGTCACATGCAACATCTCAACGTGTGAAAACCAGAAAACAGTCTTTTTCATGCAACGTTCGGTAAGCGATGCGGTACGTGTGTCAGCACCTTAACTCATGCATACATCGAAATTGTTAAGGTTGCGGAGGGAAGTAAACATGGGAATGCTGTCCGGAGAAAAACCCTCGAATGAAGATTCAAACCCGAGTCCCGGGGGGGAGGGGGGGA